CCAGAGGTAGATTTGTTATGGCAACATAAACACTCTGATTGAATCAGTACAAACCCCAAGAGCAAAACTAGTTTACATGTAGGCTACTGCTTTACTTTTAAATTAGAAAAAGTATTATCTTTACATTTACATTTTAGTCATTTAGCAGACACTCTTATCCAGTGACTTACAATTAGTGAGTGCATACATTTTTGAAAAATGAAAATGTCACAACATACAGTATGATGTTTATGTCAATACATTGCAATAATGGGAAAAGAAGAGTGTCAACCAGTTGACGTTTATGTCAACACATTGCAGTAAATGGGAAAATATGAGCGTCAACCATCCTTCACCCCCTCCAACCTCTCTTCCTCCCTCTCTCTCTTCTATCTCTCTCTCCCTCCCTTTGCCTCCCTCTTTCTCTCTCTGCCTCCTCTTTATCCCCCCTCCTCCTCTCTCCCTCCCAGTCAAGGGGTGTTCCGGAGTATCCAAGAAGCAGGGGTGTTTTAATGCATGGGCTAACCTGGGCAGGGGGCCCCAGGCCATTGGGCCCCCAAAAAACTGATTAAAATTGTCAAATTATCCGTAACGACGAGAAGTTAACACATTTGCAAGGGCACCACTACAACTTTTAAGGTGAAGGAAATTGCAATCAGTATAGTATTTCCCAATGTTGCACTACGGATTCTCTCTCTCTCTCTCTCTCTCTCTCTCTCTCTCTCTCTCTCTCTCTCTCTCTCTCTCTCTCTCTCTCTCTCTCTCTCTCTCTCTCTCTCTCTCTCTCTCTCTCTCTCTCTCTCTCTCTCTCTCTCTCTCTCTCTCTCTCTCCTCCACAGACTGGATATTGACGCATAGAAGACAAATTGCATTCAATGCAAAAATATTTGTCAAGGATATTGACATATAGGGTTTGCGTCAATAGATTTGATGCCTAAGTAAATACATCGCACTCAAGGCAAAAAAAGTTGGTGTTCAAGCTGCAATAGGTAAATTAGTGAAAGACTCAGACTGACACTGACCTATGTGACTGTTTTCTGGCCTCCTTTCAAAACAAAGAGGAGGCTATATACCAACACCCCCCTAGGACCGCCTGACTCACCACCTGAGCACAGACTTAATGCCTTCTCCTTGTCAATGAAACCACCATCACTGAACTCTTTTCTAAATCCAAAACCTGCTCCCTTACCCCATGCACACTGCCTTAGTTAAGGCATGCCTCTCTGTTCTCTGCCCGCTGGTGGTCAAGATTGTAAATGCTTCCCTCACATCTGGCATTGTTCCTACGCTTTTGAAAACAGTGGATATATATAACTCCCATACTAAAGAAACAGGGCCTGGACCCTGAGCTCCTCACGAACTACAGGCCAAACTCAACCCCTCCTCCCCTTCCTGACTAAAGTGCTTGAGCGCGTGGTAGCATCACAAATCCAACAACACATGGCCTCTCATTAACTTTTCTAACCCCTCCAGTCAGGCCTCTGAGCCATGCATAGTGAACGACCTCTGTGCTGCTGATGCTGGAAACAAGTCCTGGACCTGTCTGTCCCTGGACTCAGATGTCACTGTTATGCAGACGACATACATCTACAGTACCAGTCAAAAGTTTGGACACACCTACTCATTCATGGGTTTTCTTTATTTTTACTATGTTCTACATTGTAGACTAATAGTGAAGACATCAAAACTATGAAATAACACATGGAATCATGTAGTAACCAAAAAAGTGTTAAACAAATCAAAATATGATTGATATTTTAGCTTCTTCAAAGTAGCCACCCTTTGCCTTGATGACAGCTTTGCACACTCTTGGCATTCTCTCAACCAGCTTCATGAAGTAGTCGCCTGGAATGCATTTCAATTAACAGCTGCGCCTTGTTAAAAGTACATTTAGGGAATTTATTTCCTTCTTAATGCGTTTGAGCCAATCAGTTGTGTTGTGACAAGGTAGGGGTGGTATACAGAAGATAGCCCTATTTGGTAAAAGACCAAGTCCATATTATGGCAAGAACAGCTCAAATAGGCAAAGAGAATCGACAGTCCATCATTACTTTAAGACATGAAGGTTAGTCAATCCGGAAAATGTCAAGAACTTTGAACGTTTCTTCAAGTGCAGTCGCAAAAACCATCAAGCGCAATGATGAAACTGGCTCTCATGAGGACTGCCACAGGAAAGGAAGACCCAGAGTTACCTCTGCTGCAGAGGATACGTTTATTCGAGTTACCAGCCTCAGAAATGGGCAATTAACTGCACCTCAGATTGCAGCCCAAATAAATGCTTCACAGAGTTCAAGTAACAGACACATCTCAACATCAACTGTTCAGAGGAGACTGCGTGAATCAGGCCTTCATGGTTGAATTGCTGCAAAGAAACCACTACTAAAGGACACCAATAAGAAGAAGAGACTTGCTTGGGCCAAGAAACACAAGCATTGGACATTAGACCGGTGAAAATCTGTCCTTTGGTCTGATGAGTCGAAATTTGAGATTTTTGGTTGCAACTGCCGTGTCTTTGTGAGATGCAGAGTAGGTGAACGGATGATCTCTGCATGTGTGGTTCCCACCGTGAAGCATGGAGGAGGAGGTGTGATGGTGTAGGGGTGCTTTGCTGGTGACACTGTCTGTAATTTATTTAGAATTTAAGGCACACTTAACCAGCATGGCTACCACCGCATTCTGCAGCGATACACCATCCCATCTGGTTTGCGCTTAGTGGGACTATAATTTGTTTTTCAACAGGACAATGACCCAAAACACACCTCCAGGCTGTGTAAGGGCTATTTTACCAAGAAGGAGAGTGATGGAGTGCTGCATCAGATGACCTGGCCTCCACAATCACCAGACCGAGTTGGACCATTTCAAGAATGCCAAGAGTGTGCAAAGCTGTCATCAAGGCAAAGGGTGGCTACTTTGAAGAATCTCAAATAGAAAATATATTTTGATTTGTAAAAAAAATTTTTGGTTACTACATGATTCCATATGTGTTATTTCATAGTTTTGATATCTTCACTATTATTCTACAATGTAGAAAATAGTAAGAATAAAGAAGAACCCTTGAATTAAACTTTTGACTGGTACTGTATATCCCTGCCACCTCCCTCTTTTGTTGTTGACTGTCTACGTGAAGTGAAAACTTGGATGAGCAATAACTTTATTTTACTAAACGACGACAAAACAGAGATCATGCTCATGGGCCCCAATTCACTCATCAAGAAACTGGGTCAACTCAACATGACAATTGATGGCTGCACCATCCACTCCAACTCCACAGTCAGGAACCTTGGTGTTACATTCGACCCCACTCTGTCATCACATACACATATTTAGCAGCTGTTATTGCGGGTGTAGTGAAATGCTTGTGTTCCTAGCTCCAACAGTGCAGTAGTATCTAACAATTCACAACAATACACACAAATCTAAAAGTAAAGGAATGGAATTAAGAAATATATACATTTAAGGATGAGCAATGTCAGAATGGTATTGACTCAAATAAAGTAGAATACAGTATATACATATTAAATGAGTAAAGCAGTATGTAAACATTATTAAAATGACTGGTGTTCCATTATTAAAATGACCAGTGATTCCATGTCTATGTACATAGGGCAGCAGTGTCTAAGGTGCAGTGTTGAGTAACCGGGTGGTAGTGGGCTTGTGATGGCTATTTAACAGTCTGATGGCCTTGAGATAGAAGCTGTTTTTCAGTCTCTCGGTCCCAGCTTTGATGCACCTGTACTGACCTCGCCATCTGGATGATAGCGGAGTGAACAGGCTGTTGCTCCGATGAAGATGGCGGCCTCGCGACTAGATCTTAGGAAACTTTGCGGTATTTTGTTTTTTTAAATGTATTATTTTTTACATTATTAGCTCAGAAAGTGTTTTGTATCATTACATACAGCCGGGAAAAACTATTGGATATCAGAGCAGCAGTAACTCACCAGCATTACGACCAGGAATACGACTTTCCCGAAGCAGATCCTTTGTTTGCTCTCCCCAGGGCAATTGAACTGATTCCAGCGGCTGAACCAAAACATCGCCTTAGGAGGCGTGCACACCACCCACCGCTTCCAAGTATACTACTCGCTAATGTTCAGTCTCAGGTTAACAAGGTCGACGAGCTCTGGGCAAGGATTTCTTTCCAGAGAGACGTCAAGGCCTGTAACATACTTTGTTTCACGGAAACATGGCTCTCTGGGGATATTCTGTCGAAATCGGTCCAGCCAGATGTGTTCTCAGTTCATCGCGCAGACAGGAATAAATATCTCTCCGGGAAGCAGAAGGGAGGAGTTGTGTGTTTCATGATTAATGACTCATGGTGTAATTGTAGTAACATACAGGAACTCAAGTCCTGTTGTTCACCCGACCTAGAATACCTCACAATCAAATGCCAACCGTATTATCTCCCAAGATAATTTTCTTTGGTTATAGTTATGGCCGTGTATATCCCCCCTCAAGCTGATACGACGACGGGCCTCAAAGAACTTCACTGGACTTTATGCAAACTGGAAACCACATATCCTGAAGATGCATTTATCGTGGCTGGGGATTTTAACAAAGCAAATTTGAGGACTAGGCTGCCGAAGTTCTATCAAGATATCAACTGTTGTACTCGCGCTGCTAAAATCCTCGACCATTGCTATTCGAACTTCTGGGATCTGACCACGACTCCATTTTGCTCCTCCCTTCCTATAGTCAGAAACTCAAACAGGAAGCAACCGTGCAGAGGACTATTCAACGCTGGTCTGACCAATCGCAATCCACGCTTCAAGATTGTTTTGATCACGCCGACTGGGATATGTTCCGGGTAGCTTGCACATTTTTTTTGGACTAATACACTGAAATGGTGACTGATTATATCAGGAAGTGTATAGGTGATGTTGTGCCCACTGTGACTATTAAAACCTACCCTAACCAGAAACCGTGGATAGATGGCAGCATTCACACAAAACTGAAAGCGTGAACCACCGCATTTAACCATGGCAAGGTGACTGGGAATATGGCCGAATACAAACAGTGTAGTTATTCCCTCTGTAAGGCAATTAAACTGGCAAAACATCAGTATATAGACAAAGTGGAGTCGCAATTCAACGGCTCAGACACGAGACGTACAGTGGGGAGAACAAGTATTTGATACACTGCCGATTTTGCAGGTTTTCCTACTTACAAAGCATGTAGACGTCTGTAATTTGTATCATAGGTACACGCTGTAATTGCAAACAAAGGTTTCTGTACCAAATATTAAGTTCTGCTTTTCTGATGTATCAAATACTTATGTCATGCAATAAAATGCAAATTAATTACTTACAAATTATACAATGTGATTTTCTGGATTTTTGTTTTAGATTCAGTCTCTCACAGTTGAAATGTACATATGATAAAAATTACAGACCTCTACATGCTTTGTAAGTAGGAAAACCTGGAAAATCGGCAGTGTATCAAATACTTGTTCTCCCCACTGTATGTGGCAGCGTCTACAGACAATCACAGACTACAAAAAGAAAACCAGCCATGTTGCCGACACCGACATCTCGCTTCCAGACAAGCTAAACACCTTCTTCGCCCGCTTTGATGACAACACAGTGCCACTGACGAGGCCCACTACCAAGGACTGTGGCCTCTCCTTCTCCGTGGCCGACGTGAGAAAGACATTTAAGCATGTTAACCCCCGCAAGGCTGCCGGCCCAGACGGCATCCCTAGCCGCGTCCTCAGAGCATGTGCAGACCAGCTGGCTGGTGTGTTTACGGACATATTCAATCTCTCCCTTTCCCAGTCTGCTGTTCCCACATGATTCAAGATGGCCACCATTGTTCCTGTACCCAAGAAAGCAAAGGTAACTGAACTAAATGACTATCGCCCCGTAGCACTCACCTCTGTCATCATGAAGTGCTTCGAGAGACTTGTCAAGGATCATCTCTGCATTTATCCTGTCCTTATGTCTACCTTACCTGACACCCTAGACCCACTTCAATTTGCTTCCCACCCCAATAGATCCACAGACGATGCAATCGCCATCACACTGCACACTGCCGTATCCCATCTGGACAAGAGGAATACATATGTAAGAATGATGTTCATAGACTATAGCTCAGCATTCAACACCATAGTAACCTCCAAGCTCATCATTAAGCTCGAGGCCCTGGGTCTGAACCCCGCCCTGTGCAATTGGGTCCTGGACTTCCTGACGGGCCGCCCCCAGGTGGTGAAGGTAGGAAACAACATCTCCACTTCGCTGATCCTTGACACAGGGGCCCCACAAGGGTGCGTGCTCAGCCCCCTCCTGTAATTCAGATTGTCAGTGATGTGTACTCTGAGGAACTTGAAGCTTTTCACCTTCTCCACTGTGGTCCCTTCGATGTGGATAGAGGCATGCTCCCTCTGCTATCTCCTGAAGTCCACGATCAGCTCCTTCATTTTGTTGACATTGAGGGAGAGGTTATTTTCCTGGCACCACTCCGCCAGGTCCCTCTCCTCCTCCCTGTAGGCTGTCTCGTCATTGTTGGTAATGAGGCCTACTACTGTTTTGTCATCTGCAAACTTGATGATTGAGTTGGAGGCATGCATGTCCACGCAGTCATGGGTGAACAGGGAGTACAGGAGGGGGCTGAGCACGCACCCTTGTGGGGCCCCTGTGTTGAGGATCAGCGTATTGGAGGTGTTCTTTCCGACCTTCACCACTTGGGGGCGACCCGTCAGGAAGTCCAGGACCCAGTTGCATAGGGCAGGGTTCAGACCCAGGGCCCCGAGCTTGATGATGAGCTAGGATTGTACTATGGTGTTGAAGGCTGAGCTATAGTCAATAAACAGCATTCTTACATAGGTATTCCTCTTGTCCAGATGGGATAGGGCAGTGTGCAATGCAATGGTGATTGCATTGTCTGTGGATCTATTGGGGCGGTAAGCAAATTGAAGTGGGTCTAGGGTGTCAGGTAAGGTGGAGGTGATATGATCCTTAACTAGCCTCTCAAAGCACTTCATGATGAGAGAAGTGAGTGCTACGGGGCGATAGTCATTTAGTTCAGTTACCTTTGCTTTCTTGGGTACAGGAACAATGGTGGACATCTTGAAGTAAGTGGGGACAGCAGACTGGGATAGGGAGAGATTGAATATGTTCGTAAACACTCCAGCCAGCTGGTGCGCATGCTCTGAGGATGTGGCTAAGGATGCTGTCTGGGCCGGCAGCCCTGCGAGGTTTAACACGCATAAATGTCTTAATCACTTCGGCCACGGAGAATGAGAGCGGGCCACATCAGTGGCACTGTGTTATCCTCAAAGTGGGTGAAGAAGGTGTTTAGCTAGTCCGGGAACAAGACGTTGGTGTCCACGACGTGGCTGGTTTTCCCTTTGTAATCCGTGACTGTCTGTATACCCTGCCACATACGTCTCGTGTCTGAGCCATTGAAATGCGACTCCACTTTGTCTCTCTACTGACATTTTGCCTGTTTGATTGCCTTACGGAGGGAATAACTACACTGTTTGTATGCGACCATATTCCCAGTCACCTTGCTGTGGTTAAATGCGGTGGTTCACGCTTTCAGTTTTGCACAAATGTTGCTATCTATCAACGGTTTTTGGTTTGGGTAGGTTTTAAAAGTTACAGTGGGAACAACATCCCCTGTACACTTCCTGATCAACTCAGTCACCATGTTAGTGTATACGTCAATGTTATTCTCAGAGGCAACCCGGAACATGTCCCAGTCCGCGTGATCAAAATAATCTTGAAGCATGGATTCTGATTGGTCAGACCGGCATTGAATAGACCTTAGCACAGGTACTTCCTGTTTGAGTTTCTCCTATATCCCTACACTCCCACCTGTTCACTGCACTCCTTTGACACTGACCTCCTCATCATACCTCGCACCAGGCTGCACTCCATGTCAGAACCTCACAATCCATCCATACAGATCTTCAAGTCCAAACTAAAGACACACCACTTCACATAGGATTCTCTGCTTTTATCCTGTCCTTATGTTTAGTTTGCATTTATTTACAGTGCCTTCGGAAAGTATTCAGACCCCTTGACTTTTTCAACATTAGTTAGATAACAGCCTTATTCAAAAATGTATCAAATAGTTTTTTCCCCTCATCAATCTACACACAATGCCCCATAATGACAAAGCAAAAACAGATTTTGAAAAAATTGAAATATTACATTAACATAAGTATTCAGACCCTTTACTCAGTACTTTGTTGAAGCACCTTTGGCAGCGATTACAGCCTTGAGTCTTCTTGGGTATGACGATACAAGCTTGGCATACCTGTATTTAGGGAGTTTATCACATTCTTATTTGCAGATCCTCTCAAGCTCTGTCAGGTTGGATGGGGAACGTTGCTGCACAGCTATTTTCAGGTCTCTCTAGAGATGTTCGATCGGGTTCAAGTCCGGACACTGGGTGGGCTACTCAAGGACATTCAAAGACTTGTCCCGAAGCCACTCCTGCGTTGTCCTGTTGGAAGGTGAACCTTGGCCCAGTCTGAGGTCCTGAGCGCTCTGGAGTAGGTTTTCATCAAGGATCTCACTGTACTTTGCTCCGTTCATTGTTCCCTCGATCCTGACTAGTCTCCCAATCCCTGCCGCTTAAAAACATCCCTACAGCATGATGCTGCCACCACCATGCTTCACCGTAGGGATGATGCCAGGTTTTCTCCAGACGTGACGCTTGGCATTCAGGCCAAAGAGTTCAATCTTGGTTTCATCTGACCAGAGAATATTGTTTCTCATGGTCTGAGAGTATTTAGGTATCTTTTGGAAACCTTCAAGTGGGCTGTCATGTGCCTTTTACAGAGGAGTGGCATCTGTCTGGTCACTCATCCATAAAAGCCTGATTGGTGGAGTGCTGCAGAGATGGTTGTCCTTCTGGAAGGTTCTCCCATCTCCACAGAGGAACTCTGGAGCTCTGTAAGAGTGACCATCGGGTTCTTGGTCACCTCCCTAACCAAGGCCCTTCTCCCCCGATTGCTCAGTTTGGCCAGGCGGCCAGCTCTAGGAAGAGTCTTGGTGGTTCCAAACTTCTTCCATTTAAGAATGATGGAGACCACTGTGTTCTTGGGGACCTTCAAAGCTGCAGACATTTTTTGGTACCCTTCCCCAAATCTGTGCCTCGACACAATCCTGTCTCAGAACTCTACGGACAATTCCTTCGACCTCATGGCTTGGTTTTTGCTCTGACATGCACTGTCAACCTTTGGACCTTTTATAGACAGGTGTGTGCCTTTCCAAATCATGTAAAATCAATTGAATTTACTACAGGTGGATTCCAATCAAGTTGTAGAAACATCTCAAGGATGATCAATGGAAACAGGATGCACCTGAGCTCAATTTCGAGTCTCATATCAAAGGGTCTGAATACTTATGTATTTCTGTTTTTATTTTTAATACATTTAATACAACATTTCTAAAACCATAATATCTAGGGCATGTTGAGAATGGTGTCAACATCTTTAGCTCACATAACTTATTTACCCATATCACAAGTACTATAACAATCAAATGAATCAATATCAATATCTAATACATTAATTGCAGTGTCAACAGCTTTAGTTATTAAGATATTAATAACTTATTCAAATCTATCAGTCAGCTTACAACTCATAATCATAATGTGATTCACCTTGGTCCCATCACTCAAAGTTAAAACCCTCAACTTAGCACCCATTTATATTATCATACAGTATACAGTGGCTTGCGAAAGTATTCACCCTCCTTGGCATTTTTCCTATTTTGTTGCCTTACAACCTGGAATTAAAATGGATTTTGGGGAGTTTGTATCATTTGATTTACACAACATGCCTACCAATTTGAAGATGCAAAATATTTTTTATTGTGAAACAAACAAGAAATAATAAGAAAAAATAAAACTTGAGCGTGCATAACTATTCACCCCCCCAAAGTCAATACTTTGTAAAGCCACCTTTTGCAGCAATTACAGCTGCAAGTCTCTTGGGGTATGTCTCTATAAGCTTGGCACATCTAACCCCTGGGATTTTTGCCCATTCTTCATGGGAAAACTGCTCCAGCTCTTTCAAGTTGGATGGGTTCCACTGGTGTACAGCAATCTTTACGTCATACCGCAGATTCTCATTTGGTTTGAGGTCTGGGCTTTGACTAGGCCATTCCAAAACATTTACATGTTTCCCCTTAAACCACTCAAATGTTTCTTTAGCAGTATGCTTAGGGTCATTGTCCTGCTGGAAGGTGAACCTCCATCCCAGTCTCAAATCTCTGGAAGACTGAAACAGGTTTCCTTCAAGAATTTCCCTGTATTTAGCGCCATCCATCATTCCTTCAATTCTGACCAGTTTCCCAGTCCCTGCCGATGAAAAACATCCCCACAGCATGTTGCTGCCACCACCATGGTTCACTGTGGGGATGGTGTTCTCGGGGTGATGAGAGGTGTTGGGTTTGCGCCAGTCATAGCATTTTCCTTGATGTCCAAAAAGCTCAATTTTAGTCTCATCTGACCAGAGTACCTTCTTCCACATGCCTTTTAGCGAACACCAAACGTGTTTGCTTAATTTGTTCTTTAAGCAATGGCTTTTTTTCTGGCCACTCTTCCGTAAAACCCAGCTCTGTGGAGTGTACGGCTTAAAGTGGTCCTATAGACAGATACTCCAATCTCTGCTGTGGAGCTTTGCAGCTCCTTCAGGGTTATCTTTGGTCTCTTTGTTGCCTCTCTGATTAATGCCCTCCTTGCCTGGTCTGTGAGTTTTAGTGGGCGGCCCTCTCTTGGCAGTTTTGTTGTGGTGCCATGTTCTTTCAATTTTTTTATAATGGATGTTCAAAGTTTCATTTATTCTTTTATAACCCAATCCTGATCTGTACTTCTCCACAACTTTGTCCCTGACCTGTTTGGAGAGCTCCTTGGTCTTCATGGTGTCGCTTGCTTGTTGGTGCCCCTTGCTTAGTGGTGTTGCAGACTCTGGGGCCTTTCAGAACAGGTGTATATATGCTGTGATCATGTGACAGATCATGTGACACTTATATTGCACACAGGTGGACTTTATTTAACTAATTATGTGACTTCTGAAGGTAATTGGTTGCACCAGATCTTATTTAAGGGCTTCATAGCAAAGGGGGTGAATACATATGCACGCACCACTTTTCCGTTATCTATTTTGTATAATTTTTTGAAACAAGTTATTTTTTTTCATTTCACTTCACCAATTTGGACTATTTTGTGTATGTCCATTACATGAAATCCAAATAAAAATCCATTTAAATTACAGGTTGTAATGCAACAAAATCGTAAGAAAGCCAAGGGGGATGAATACCTTTTCAAGGCACTGTAATTATCCATAATTCTAGCATTAGCTTCCTCATAAGGAGAATAACTACAGATCATTATCTCAATGCATTCTTAGTCTAAATTACTATAAATGTAGCAGTGTGTAGACCTCCTTAATCAACCCCTTCCTTCCCCGACACTCAATATTCTGGCATCTCTTCATTATGTTCTTCAGATAGCTTCATAGTTCATGTCTCACCTGAGCCGCCCCCACCTCTACCCCCATTATGTTTTGTCCATTTGCCAACCAGTATACCAGCACCATGAGAGATAATGTATTTGAACAGATCTCTCTTCATGCCCACTCCACATGGACTCCTGTCACACTCCTGAGAGAAAAGGCATAAGAGAAAAGGCAGTTGGATGATAGCTTCGATTGGATGCTAGTTCTGATTCAGGTCTCTTGGTAGAAGTGGTGCTGGACAGGACCCTATTCAACGCTTTTGTTGCTCATCTTCAGCCGGTTGTTTTTTTAAATTATTTTTATTGAGGTTCACACTGTTCTTGACAGAATTATCTCTGCCATTCATCAAGACACCATCTGTAGTAACCTCGAGAGAGGACAGATCATAACTGTTTAGATGAGTTCATTTCCAATCCAAAAAATCCATATCAGCATTGACTATATGACAAATTATTATGTTTTACCAATTATTCTTAATACCAATTTCTAATATACTCCCCTTATCACCCTGTCGACTTCACCACAGAGTCACAGAATCAGCAAGTTAGATCTCAATTTCTGTTAGGGGAACTAGACAAAGACAGAGAAATCAATGGTGGGGAAGTCAGGTGATTCTTGAAGGTCTGGGAGATCTTGAAGTTCTTGGAGGTCTGTCCCTCCTGTCCCTCCCTATAGGGAATCAGTCAGAGCATGCAGCCCATCAGTAGCATTCCAATTTCCATCCTCCCCCATCTCCTGATTCTGGCCAGCTCGAGCATCCTCAGCTCCCTCATCTCTAGGTCGTCGGTTTCCTTGTGGTACTCTGGTGCAGTGGATTAGATGATACCAGGTCAAGCTCCCCTCTATCCTTACAGCCGTCGGTGCAGCCTGAGTGACGATGTATGGTCTCTTTGGCTCGGGACCTTCTTCCATCACTAGGGTCTACGGATCAGGCAGAGTCCCTCTCAATTCATCGAGATCGGTCTGCGGAGAGTGTTCTTCTGGCAGCGTACCAACAGGGAAGCTTGGAGTCACTACTGCAAAGACACCCAGAGACAGACAGACATAAAATTAAACAATGCTATCCACTGGCGAGGCCATCTTCCTCTTCTGGGGTTGAAACTCTCCTACAGTGGGACACATGGATCCAGGTTTCTGTCTCTGCCACTTTCACCGTCACCGAGGTATCCAGCAACACCTGGTACGGGCCCCTTCACCTAGGATCTTTCCAGCTCTTTCTTCTGTAGTCTTTTACCGCCACAAAATCTCCAGGGCGCAGAAAATGCCCAGATTCTCCAGCTAGGTTGGGCAGAGAAGCCTTCACCCGTGGGAAGAAAGTCTTAAGAACATTGTTCGGTGAGACACAGTATGCTACTGTACCATGTCTTCTCATCAGTCAGGAGAAGCCCTGAGATTCGGAAGTGCACATTTTTGCAGCTTGTTGTAGTCCACTAGTTTCAGAGACAGGCCCATTTGCACACAACACATTCCATCTAACCCATAACACATTAATTACTACTGCTCATATTCTTAATTGAATTTGCATATTTACCAAAAGGCCCCAGGGGACCAGTAATTCCCGAAAACTTAAACCCCCAAATGTGTTATCGCTTGTTGTACTTTCCCACATGCCTTGTGGCCCCTCTCTACTAAAATAGTTTACTAATGTGATGATGGTCTGGCCTATCAGTATTCTCATCATTCAACGGCCATAACAATTCACCACACCACAAAACCCTCAAATTCACACCCTTCAGCGATTCTTTAAATGCAACATGATACAACGTTTGACTATTTGTAATGTCACTTTTTAGAATCCACTGTCTTTGACTCTCGCAAGGATTCTCTAACCACACTAAATGTAATACTTTTTCCTGTCGCAAATATAGTCCATTTCTCAGTGTAAGGAATCAGTGATATCTGATCCCAAGCATCTATTAAAATGTTGTTTGAGACGTGGTCTCCTACATCTCCCTTAACATACATACTGTAGGGGACTTCAATCAATCCTGGAAGAAAGAATCCTACTCAAGACACATCAGATAATATTGTGTTCAATTAAGGGGAAAAACACCTTTTAAAATAAACAAACCCATAACCCCTTTCCGGTAATCTAATCACCGCAACCTGTTGCATTGATTTAGTTAAAAATATAAACCTGTTGATTAACAAATCTAGAACCTACAAAAAGTTGGTGTTGCCCCATCAGCGTAATAGTCAAAACTACCTGCCATCCATTGTTTAACGTAACAGAAACAGATTATCATTTTAGAATTCATTAACTGTTTGCATAAACTACTGGTGTTACGCAAACTATAGAATTGAGTAATAATAATTAGAAATTGTCAAATAACTTTTCCGATTCACCTATTCAGACCTCTGCTTCAAATATCCCACTGCGTATCTTACATTTCCATATAGCCCAGCGAGCACGACTCTCTTTCACCCGCCTGACTAAATCATGGCATTAGTAAAGTCTATCCACAAACCACCAATAACATATTTGCATTCACATTACCAGAAAGCATTATTTTAATTCCAGTTTACTCAAACAATTACATTTGACACTTCTTATTTCCCAATTAACCAACTTTCCTTTTAACCCAGAAAGCCCTGTAAAATCTCTATTATCGTCAACCTCTGTCTTTCCCTCTAACGTTACTTTACCAGGTGACCAATTATATTATTAAATTGTAGTCAAAACAAACAAAACATCTATTCACAGGGAGGCCATTTTAATTACTATGTTATCCTAGGCCGCCATGGGTTGGTAGGACAATCCCTTTCGGATAATCTAATAATTGCAACCGGTGATCCGGTTCAACAGCATCAATGTAACAGATCTGCTTCCGTCCCTACCTGGGCTTCAACCAGGGACCCTCTTTTGTTTTGGGTCATTGTCATGCTGGAATACCCATCCACAACCCATTTTCAATGCCCTGGCTGAGGGAAGGAGGTTCTCACCTAAGATTTGACGGTACATGGCCCCGTCCATCGTCCCTTTGATGCGGTGAAGTTGTCCTGTCCCCTTAGCAGAAAAATACCCCCAAAGCATAATGTTTCCACCTCCATGTTTGACGGTGGGGATGGTGTTCTTGGGGTCATAGGCAGCATTCCTCCTCCTCCAAACACGGCGAGTTGAGTTGATGGCAAAGAGCTCGATTTTGGTCTCATCTGACCACAACACTTTCACCCAGTTCTCCTCTGAATCATTCAGACGATCAGGATAACTCCAGATAAAGAAGGGTTATTGCCATTGGAGAAGGAATTGGTAGACCATACATAATGCCAGAGTTAGGAGGACTGGAGCAGGCAGAAATAGAAATTGAGAGCACCCTAGCAGAACACGGGAGAAGGTTGTTTATTAACCACACCCGTATGTCAGAGGTTTTGTGCCCCACAGGTGAACTAAATGAGAAGGTGACCCACTCTATCCAACCAGGTGACTGGTGTGGATGTCCAGTCCCTAAAGAAGAAAGACTGGAAGCAGGCCTGTTGGGAAGGGCCCTATCAGGTTATATTGGTCACCACATTTGTCATTAGAATAGCAGAAAGAGCAACCTGGTTCCACATTACCCAATGCAAAAAGGTAAGAGCACATACAAGCACCACTGAACACACACAGAGTTAGAGAGAAGAACTGGACCAATAGGGTCTGGGGATCACCTCTGTTAACGAAGATCTCCTACCCTGACCTATCATCACTGTAGTGTGTTCTCAGGGTGTGAGTATGGGGTGGTACCAAGCAGAAAGACTGAGGGCAGGAGAGGGTTGGCGGTTTTTGGGAATATGGGTAACCTGAGCTGCATCATAGCAATGGTCCTGATATGTCAAGATCCACCACCACACCGCACCAATTACGCTATGCCCTTACCATTGTTAGAAAGTAAAAGAGAAGAGAAGCGACCCAACATACTGACCGTCAAGGACGAGTGGCCTACAAAATAGGAGTCAAAGAAGGGCAGACTATAGGATTCGAAATAAGGGTTAGGGACGTAGCCAACGGGTGGGGTACATGTCAATAAGCCATTTGGGATTATAAAATCCCATAATATTCGTGTTCGAGCCCCACGGCAGATTGTTCCAAGACTCAAGTGTTTAAACACACTTGGGTACGGGAATATGAGACCGAGCGGGATTGGACATCCAGATGGGGGGGTAAAGAGAAACAAAGACATCACCAATTATCAATTGGAGATAGTAGTAATGTGACTGACTTAAGTTCGGAAGCACAGGAGAGAATTCTGAACCTTACAGCCCCGTAACCGATGTGTGGTGGGCGTGTGCCAGTAAAGGCAGTATAAGGCAGAGAATGCCAAAAGGGTGACTAGGTACGTACGCCCCGGTTCTACTGGTTCAGCTAGTTAGAATTAGTCACCAGGAACCAAGGAAAGGGTTAAACAGATGTAGGAGGAGTTTTGACAAGAAGGAGAATAGCCCTAATTAGATGAATGTGATTGGGATACCAAGGGGAGTACCGGATGAATACAAAGCCTGAAACAAGTAGGGGAAGGGTTTAGTACAATGTTCTTCTGGTGGGTGACAATAAACAAAAATGTGGATTGGATTAATTATATCTATTACGACCAACAACGATTTGTTGGCCAGACTAGGGATGCAGTAAAGGGGATCTCTGAACAATTATCCGCCACCTCACTCATGACTTGGGAAAATAGGTTGGCTCTAGATCAGGCAGAAAGAGGCGGTGTCTATAGAATGGTGGGCCATTGTTGCACATTTATCCCTAAAAACACCGCACCGGATGGGACAGTCACCAGAGCTCTTGCAGGATTGACTGCTCTAAGTGAGGAATGGGCTGAGAACTCAGGAGTTAATACATCTTTGATAGGATGATTTGATGAAATGTTTGGTAAATGGAAAACCATAGCAGCCACCATCTTGGGGGCAGCCAGCGTTTGTATGGGTATTCTTGTATTATGTGGTTGTTGTCTTGATCCCTGTGTCCGAGGGTTGGTGAGTAAGGCGTTGGAGAATGTACGCCGCCAGGGACTCAAATCCTGCAGTGCCAGACGTGTCCCCCTGCTTAAGCCAGTACATGTCCAGGCCCGTCTGAAGTTTGCTACAGTGCATTTGGATGATCCAGAAGAGGATTGGGAGAATGTCATATGGTCAGATGAAACCAAAATATAACTTTTTGGTAAAAACTCAACTCGTCGTGTTTGGAAGACAAAGAATGCTGAGTTGCATCCAAAGAACACCATACCTACTGTGAAGCATCAGGGTGGAAACATCATGCTTTGGGGCTGCTCTAGAGGAGATCTGCATGGAGGAATGGGCCAAAATACCAGCAACAGTGTGTGAAAACCTTGTGAAGACTTACAGAAAACGATTGACCTGTGTCATGTTTTTCTGCAAAGGGACCAGGACGACTGATCCGTGTAAAGGAAAGAATGAATGGGGCCATGTATCGTGAGATTTTGAGTGAAAACCTCCTTCCATCAGCAAGGGCATTGAAGATGAAACGTGGCTGGGTCTTTGACCATGACAATGATCCCAAACACACCGCCCGGGCAACGAAGGAGTGGCTTCGTAAGAAGCATTTCAAGGTCCTGGAGTGGCCTAGCCAGTCTCCAGATCTCAACCCCATAGAAAATCTTTGGAGGGAGTTGAAAGTCTGTGTTGCCCAGCGACAGCCCCAAAACATCACTGCTCTAGAGGAGATCTGCATGGAGGAATGGGCCAAAATACCAGCAACAGTGTGTGAAAACCTTGTGAAGACTTACAGAAAACGTTTGACCTGTGTCATTGCCAACAAAGGGTATATAACAAAGTATTGAGAAACTTTTGTTATTGACCAAATACTTATTTTCCAGCATAATTTGCAAATAAATTCATTAAAAATCCTACAATGTGATTTTCTGGAGAAAAACAAATCTCATTTTGTCTGTCATAGTTGACGTGTACCTATGATGAAAATTACAGGCCTCTCTCATCTTTTTAAGTGGGAGAACTTGCACAATTGGTGGCTGACTAAATACTTTTTTTCCCCACTGTATCACTATTTCTAAAACAAGCCGTAGAAAGTTGGCTGCGATTTCAATTTAATCCTCCAGAAACGACAGAACAAATAATGCAACAAATATTGAGGTTAAACTTAAATATACTAATTGACAAAAAAACTTTTTTTTGACAAAATGTTTAAAAAAGGTATAATCTTTGTAAATGATATCATCGGTAGGACTTATGTCGCACATGCAGCTAACAAAAACATATGGAAATGTCTGCTCTACACAAAATTACAACCAAATAATTGCAGCCTTACCGCAAAAATGGAAGAGGAAAGTGGAAGGGGGAGAAAGTAAGGAACTTGTCTGTCGGCCTTGCATTAAAGAACATAATTGGTTAAGGAAAACTGTGATAAATAAAAAAGGATATCAGTTTCATTTAAGGACCAAAGAATTGACAGCCGTTCCATATAGATAGAAAAATAGTTGGGAAGAGATTTTTGACATACCGATTCCATGGCATAGTGTTTATGAACTGATACACAAAACGATGCCGGATTCAAAACTTTGAATATTTCAATTTCAATTATTATATTACATTCTTGCTACCAATAGAATGTTATTTATATGGGGGATACAATCTTTCCAGCTCTGCAGATTTTGCTGCGAAGAGACAGAATCATTAGATCATTTGTTTTGGTACTGTCCATTTGTAGCTTCTTTTTGGACACTGGTCCAGGAATGGCTAAATGATTGCAATATTTACCTGGAGCAAACCCTGCAGATAGCACTACTGGGTGATCTGAAAAGTCATAGTCAATCGATCAATCACATAATAATACTATTAGCAAAAATGTTTATTTTCAATTCACAATCTGTAGAAACAATGAGAATAGAAAGGTTCAGAACTTTTGTAAGACATCACAGTACAGTTGAAATACAGTGGGGAGAACAAGTATTTGATACACTGCCGATTTTGCAGGTTTTCCTACTTACAAAGCATGTAGAGGTCTGTAATTTTTATCATAGGTACACTTCAACTGTGAGAGACGGAATCTAAAACAAAAATCCAGAAAATCACATTGTATGTTTTTTAAGTAATTGATTTGCATTTTATTGCATGACATAAGTATTTGATCACCTACCAACCAGTAAGAATTCCGGCTCTCACAGACCTGTTAGTTTTTCTTTAAGAAGCCCTCCTGTTCTCCACTCATTACCTGTATTAACTACACCTGTTTGAACTCGTTACCTATATAAAAAGACACCTGTTCACACACTCAATCAAACAGACTCCAACCTCTCCACAATGGCCAAGACCAGAGAGCTGTGTAAGGACATCAGGGATACAATTGTAGACCTGCACAAGGCTGGGATGGGCTACAGGACAATAGGCAAGCAGCTTGGTGAGAAGGCAACAACTGTTGGAGGAATTATTAGAAAATGGAAGAAGTTCAAGATGACGGTCAATCACCCTCGGTCTGGGTCTCCATGCAAGATCTCACCTCGTGGGGCATCAATGATCATGAGGAAGGTGAGGGATCAGCCCAGAACTACACGGCAGGACCTGGTCAATGACCTGAAGAGAGCTGGGACCACAGTCTCAAAGAAAACCATTAGTAACACACTACGCCGTCATGGAGTAAAATCCTGCAGCGCACGCAAGTTCCCCCTGCTCAAGCCAGCGCATGTCCAGGCCCGTCTGACGTTTGCCAATGACCATCTGGATGATCCAGAGGAGGAATGGGAGAAGGTCATGTGGTCTGATGAGACAAAAATAGAGCTTTTTGGTCTAAACTCCACTCGCCGTGTTTGGAGGAAGAAGAAGGATGAGTACAACCCCAAGAACACCATCCCAACCGTGAAGCATGGAGGTGGAAACATCATTCCTTGGGGATGCTTTTCTGCAAAGGGGACAGGACGACTGCACCTTATTGAGGGAAGGATGGATGGGGACATGTATCGTGAGATCTTGGCCAACAACCTCCTTCCCTCAGTAACAGCATTGAAGATGGGTCGTGACTGGGTCTTCCAGCATGACAACGACCCGAAACACACAGCCAGGGCAACTAAGGAGTGGCTCCGTAAGAAGCATCTCAAGGTCCTGGAGTGGCCTAGCCAGTCTCCAGACCTGAACCCAATTGAAAATCTTTGGAGGGAGCTGAAAGTCCGTATTGCCCAGCGACAGCCCCGAAACCTGAAGGATCTGGAGAAGGTCTGCATGGAGGAGCAGGCCAAAATCCCTGCTGCAGTGTGTGCAAACCTGGTCAAGACCTACAGGAAACGTATGATCTCTGTAATTGCAAAACAAAGGTTTCTGTACCAAATATTAAGTTCTGCTTTTCTGATGTATCAAATACTTATGTCATGCAATAAAATGCAAATTATTTATTTAAAAATCATACAATGTGATTTTCTGGATTTTTGTTTTAGATTCCGTCTCTCACAGTTGAAGTGTACCTATGATAAAAATTACAGACCTCTACATGCTTTGTAAGTAGGAAAACCTGCAAAATTGGCAGTGTATCAAATACTTGTTCTCCCCACTGTATATATGGCAAATAGAAATCCTATATGGATGGTGTTAAAAGATAGATGGGAGGTGTTGAATGGAATGGAAGGATGGGACTAATAACAACTAACAACAAACAATAACAAGATATCTAATAATGTAGGCACGCTGTGTCCATAATAAGTGTATAGGTTGTAGGTTGGGAGCTTTTGTGAAGGAGCACAGTTAGAAAGATATGGCATATAGAAGCAAACCGGATGGACATCATGAAAATGATCGGAGAGGTTGAGAGTAGAAGAAGTTCAGGAGGAAGAACAAACAAAATGTAATTATTGTAAAATTGACTGTGTCCATAAAATGTAGATAGTAAGTATAAGCTGGAAGTAGAGGCCTAAGCATTGTTGTTCAATAGTTTACTCCAAGTAGGGAAAGGGTGGCGGGGTTGGAAAGTAATAAAGGGGAATATATATATATATATATATATATATATATATATATATATTTTTTTTTAAGGATATGTATGTGTATGTATGTATGTATGTGGGTGTGTATGTGTGTGTGTGTGTATATATACAGTGGGGAAAAAAAGTATTTAGTCAGCCACCAATTGTGCAAGTTCTCCCACTTAAAAAGATGAGAGAGGCCTGTAATTTTCATCATAGGTACACGTCAACTATGACAGACAAAATGAGAAAATAAAATCCAGAAAATCACATTGTAGGATTTTTAATGAATTTATTTGCAAATTATGGTGGAAAATAAGTATTTGGTCAATAACAAAAGTTTCTCAATACTTTGTTATATACCCTTTGTTGGCAATGACACAGGTCAAACGTTTTCTGTAAGTCTTCACAAGGTTTTCACACACCGTTGCTGGTATTTTGGCCCATTCCTCCATGCAGATCTCCTCTAGAGCAGTGATGTTTTGGGGCTGTCGCTGGGCAACACAGACTTTTAACTCCCTCCAAAGATTTTCTATGGGGTTGAGATCTGGAGACTGGCTAGGCCACTCCAGGACCTTGAAATGCTTCTTACGAAGCCACTCCTTCGTTGCCCGGGCGGTGTGTTTGGGATCATTGTCATGCTGAAAGACCCAGCCACATTTCATCTTCAATGCCCTTGCTGATGGAAGGAGATTTTCACTCAAAATCTCACGATACATGGCCCCATTCATTCTTTCCTTTACACGGATCAGTCGTCCTGGTCCCTTTGCAGAAAAACAGCCCCAAAGCATGATGTTTCCACCCCCATGCTTCACAGTAGGTATGGTGTTCTTTGGATGCAACTCAGCATTCTTTGTCCTCCAAACACAACGAGTTGAGTTTTTACCAAAAAGTTATATTTTGGTTTCATCTGACCATATGACATTCTCCCAATCCTCTTCTGGATCATCCAAATGCACTCTAGCAAACTTCAGACGGGCCTGGACATGTACTGGCTTAAGCAGGGGGACACGTCTGGAACTGCAGGATTTGAGTCCCTGGCGGCGTAGTGTGTTACTGATGGTAGGCTTTGTTACTTTGGTCCCAGACCTCTGCAGGTCATTCACTAGGTCCCCCCGTGTGGTTCTGGGATTTTTGCTCACCGTTCTTGTGATCATTTTGACCCCACGGGGTGAGATCTTGCGTGGAGCCCCAGATCGAGGGAGATTATCAGTGGTCTTGTATGTCTTCCATTTCCTAATAATTGCTCCCACAGTTGATTTCTTCAAACCAAGCTGCTTACCTATTGCAGATTCAGTCTTCCCAGCCTGGTGCAGGTCTACAATTTTGTTTCTGGTGTCCTTTGACAGCTCTTTGGTCTTGGCCATAGTGGAGTTTGGAGTGTGACTGTTTGAGGTTGTGGACAGGTGTCTTTTATACTGATAACAAGTTCAAACAGGTGCCATTAATACAGGTAACGAGTGGAGGACAGAGGAGCCTCTTAAAGAAGAAGTTACAGGTCTGTGAGAGCCAGAAATCTTGCTTGTTTTTGGTGACCAAATACTTATTTTCCACCATAATTTGCAAATAAATTCATTAAAAATCCTACAATGTGATTTTCTCGATTTTTTTTCTCAATTTGTCTGTCATAGTTGACGTGTACCTATGATGAAAATTACAGGCCTCTCTCATCTTTTTAAGTGGGAGAACTTGCACAATTGGTGGCTGACTAAATACTTTTTTTCCCCACTGTATATATATATATATATATATATATATATATATATATATATATATATATATATATATATATATATATAAACATATATAAACATGGGGGATTGGAAGTGATGCAGACAATTACATTGATGGAAGTTACAATCTATCTGCAATATTAAGCTGATCTACCCCCCCAAAAAATTAAAAAATAAATATTCATTAACAGGTGGGTTGTGTGTGGGTGCTGGCATGTGTGTGGCAAAAATCGTGGGGGAAAACACAAACAAAATGGCCAGGCCTTGCTTAATTTGGGAGGTCCCTTAACAGCTGGATCCAGGTACTTTTGACTTCTCTCATAAGGCACTTGCCTTAGAAAGCCTTTCAAAGGGAGAGATACAGAATCATCGATAAACATGTAAAAAAAAACTTGGTAGCGGACATTCCATCAGTCCTGGAAGAAAGAAAATAAACATAATCAAGTTTACTGCATCTTGGGCAGGAAGTCTTAATAAACCCATACGTATACAGAATTATACTTCAGACACATTTATACTTCAGACACATCAGATGATACAGTGTCCCTTAAAGCTAAATTAGGCACCTTCTAAAGTAAACAATCCCAGAGCACCTCTTAAATCCCTGGTGCTACCCAAACTACAGAATTGAGAAATAAATAGTCAAAAACGTGTCTTATTCAATTATTCACCTCTGTCCCAAATTACAGCCTGTTTGAGTTCAGTGTGTTCTGGCGGCTATCTATTGTTCCACAGGAAGCTTATCTCTTAACCCAAACACCAGATGGCTTAAACACGAGAGCAGTGAACCAGGCCTTGAAAAGTGAGCGGCCTCTAATTTAAGTCGTAATGCTCAATCCCTCTGTCTTAATTGTGGGTTATCAATTGTGGGTTAGAATTGAGGCACGAAGCTAGCTAGCTAGCGGGTAGCTATTGGTAACGATTAGCAACGCTGGAGAGCTGGTTCCAACGGTAATGTAGTCCTACCCAACGTTTAACTTTTGCTTAACCATGTACTAGATCGTAGGTAGGTAGTTAGCTGTAGTTAGGTATTGTATTTATTGTAGGTTAGTATTGTTGTTATTGTAGCTTTCCGTGGGTAATTGTGGGTTAGAATTGAGGCACGAAGCTAGCTAGCTAGCGGGTAGCTATTGGTAACGATTAGCAACGCTGGAGAGCTGGTTCCAACGGTAATGTAGTCCTACCCAACGTTTAACTTTTGCTTAACCATGTACTAGATCGTAGGTAGGTAGTTAGCTGTAGTTAGGTATTGTATTTATTGTAGGTTAGTATTGTTGTTATTGTAGCTTTCCGTGGGTAATTGTGGGTTAGAATTGAGGCACGAAGCTAGCTAGCTAGCGGGTAGCTATTGGTAACGATTAGCAACGCTGGAGAGCTGGTTCCAACGTTTAATTATTATTATTATTATTATTATTATTATTTTTTTTTTTTGCTGCGTTGTGAAGGGAACTCGACACGGACTTGAATTGTCTGTTTGGTGTGCTGACACACTCTTGGCAGTTTGTTGTGGCCAGGTGTTGATGCTAGTTGTGTGTTAATGGATGCTAGCTTGCAGGTTGGCTACGGCGTCATAGCTAGGCTTCGTGGGTTGTTGTGGGTAGTTACTGTGTCTTGGCAGTGTCCTCGGCCGTGCCAGCTGTAGCACGAAGCTAGCTAGCTAGCCGTTCTTCAAACAGAGTCGACACAGTGGCCATTGCTAGCTACCCAACATGACCATTTGGCTGTACTGAAGTAGCTAACCACAATTTACTTGTCCTAGCTAGCCAACGTCTAATCATTGCTGCGTCATGTAAGGAACTTGACACAGACACGAATGATCTGTTTAGTGTGTTATCACAATATTGGTGGTTTGTTGTGACCAAGTGTTGGCGCTAAACGGTGTGTTATTGTTATTGGATGCTAGTCTGCTAGTTGGCTATGGAGTCATAGTTGGCTAGCTGAACAAAGTGGGTTGAGTCTACTCCTTTAAACATTGAACCGCTGTGGTTCACAACAATTCTGATTTCCAAAGGCGGAAGTTGGGAGAGTTTTTTCTTCGGGTGGTTCAGTGAAACAATTTTAGTTTCCGAGGTAGAAGTTTTGGTGAGGGAGGCCCTGCTCTCTCCACTCCCAGATGCTTAGCCCATTTCATTCCGATCTCCTCTGCATTTTTGTAGCCATTTGCTACAGCCTGTCAACTATGCCTCTGCCTATCCCTGTTCTCTCCTCTCTGCACAGGCTACACAAACGCACCACACCGCGTGGCTGCTGCCTCTCCAATCTGGTGGTCCCTGCACGCACCACCCACGTGGAGTTCCAGGTCGCAGGCAGCCTCTGGAACTGCCGTTCTGCTGCCAACAAAGCTGACTTCATCCCAGCCTATGCCAACCTCCAGTCCCTCGACTTCCTGGCGCTGACGGAAACATGGATCACCACTGAAAACACCGCTACTCCTACTGCTCTCTCCTCGTCTGACCATGTGTTCTCGCATACCCCGAGAGCATCTGGTCAGAGGGGTGGTGGTACAGGAATCCTCATCTCTCCCAAGTGGACATTCTCAATTTTTCCCCTAACCCATCTGTCTATTTCCTCATTTGAATTCCATGCTGTCACAGTCACTAGCCCATTTAAGCTTAATATCCTTGTCATCTATCGCCCTCCAGGTTCCCTTGGAGAGTTCATCAATGAGCTTGACGCCTTGATAAGTTCCTTCCCTGAGGATGGCTCACCCCTCACAGTTTTGGGGGATTTCAACCTCCCTATGTCCACATTTGACTCATTTCTCTCTGCCTCCTTCTTTCCACTCCTCTCCTCTTTTGACCTCACCCTCTCACCGTCCCCCCCTACTCACAAGGCAGGCAATACGCTTGACCTCATCTTCACTAGATGCTGCTCCTCTACTAATCTCACTGCAACTCCCCTCCAAGTCTCCGACCACTACTTTGTTTCCTTTTCTCTCTCACTCTCCTCCCACACTACTCACTCTGCCCCTACACAGATGGGCCGCCGCAACCTTCGCTCTCTCTCTCCCACTACTCTCTCCTCTTCCATCCTATCATCTCTTCCCTCTGCTCAATCCTTCTCCCTCCAATCTCCTGATTCTGCCTCCTCAACCCTCCTCTCCTCCCTTTCTGCATCCTTTGACTCTCTGTGTCCCCTATCCTCCCGGCCGGCTCGGTCCTCCCCTCCAGCTCCGTGGCTTGATGACTCATTGCGAGCTCACAGAACAGAGCTCCGGGCAGCGGAGCGGAAATGGAAGAAAACTAAATTCCCTGCCGACCTGGCATCTTTTCACTCCCTCCTCTCTACATTTTCTTCATCTGTTTCTGCTGCTAAGGCCACCTTCTACCACTCTAAATTCCAAGCATCTGCCTCTAACCCTAGGAAGCTCTTTGCCACATTTTCCTCCCTCCTGAATCCTCCCTCCCCCCCCCCCCCCCCCCTCCTCTCTCTCTGTGGATGACTTCGTCAACCACTTTGAAAAGAAGGTTGACGACATCCGATCCTTGTTTGTTAAGTCTAATGACACTGCTGGTCCTGCTCACACTGCCCTACCCTATGCTTTGACTTCTTTCTCCCCTCTCTCTCCAGATAAGATCCTGCGACTTGTGACTGCAGGCCGCCCAACAACCTGCCCGCTTGACCCCATCCCCTCCTCCCTTCTCCAGACCATCTCCGGTGACCTTCTCCCCTACCTCACCTCGCTGATCAACTCATCCTTGACCGCTGGCCATGTCCCTTCCGTCTTCAAGAGAGCGAGAGTTACTCCCCTTCTCAAAAAACCAACACTCGACCCCACTGATGTCAACAACTACAGACCAGTATCCCTTCTTTCTTTTCTTTCCAAAACTATTGAGCGTGCCGTCTTTAGCCAACTCTCTTGCTATCTCTCTCAGAATGACCTTCTTGATCCAAACCAATCAGGTTTCAGGACTGGTCATTCAACTGAGACTGCTCTTCTCTGTGTCACAGAGACTCTCCGCACTGCTAAAGCTAACTCTCTCTCCTCTGCTCTTGTCCTTCTAGACCTGTCTGCTGCCTTTGATACTGTGAACCATCAGATCCTCCTCTCCACCCTCTCCGAAATGGGCATCTCCGGCGCGGCTCACTCCTGGATTGCGTCCTACCTGACCGGTCGCTCCTACCAAGTGGCGTGGCGGGAAGCTGTCTCCGCACCACGTGCTCTCACCACTGGTGTCCCCCAGGGATCGGTTTTGGGCCCTCTCCTTTTCTCCCTATACACCAAGTCACTTGGCTCTGTCATATCCTCACATGGCCTTTCCTATCATTGCTACGCTGACGATACACAACTAATCTTCTCCTTTCCCCCTTCTGATAACCAGGTGGCGAATCGCATCTCTGCATGTCTGGCAGACATATCAGTATGGATGACGGATCACCACCTCAAGCTGAACCCTGGCAAGACGGAGCTGCTCTTCCTCCCGGGGAAGGACTGCCCGTTCCATGATCTCGCCATCACGGTAGACAACTCCGCTGTGTCCTCCTCCCAGAGTGCGAAGAGCCTAGGCGTGACCCTGGACAACACCCTGTCGTTCTCCGCCAACATCAAGGCGGTGACCCGCTCCTGCAGGTTCATGCTCTACAACATTCGGAGAGTGCGACCCTGCCTTACACAGGAAGCGGCGCAGGTCCTGGTCCAGGCACTTGTCATCTCCCGTCTGGACTACTGCAACTCGCTGTTGGCTGGGCTCCCTGCCTGTGCCATTAAACCCCTACAACTCATCCAGAATGCCGCAGCCCGTCTGGTGTTCAACCTTCCCAAGTTCTCTCACGTCACCCCCCTCCTCCGCACACTCCACTGGCTTCCAATTGAAGCTCGCATCCGCTACAAGACCATGGTGCTTGCCTTTGGAGCAGTGAGGGGAACGGCACCCCTGTACCTTCAGGCTCTGATCAGTCCCTACACCCAAACGAGGACATTGCGTTCATCCACCTCTGGCCTGCTGGCTCCCCTTCCTCTGCGGAAGCACAGCTCCCGCTCAGCCCAGTCAAAACTGTTCGCTGCCCTGGCACCCCAATGGTGGAACAAGCTCCCTCACGACGCCAGGACAGCGGAGTCACTCACCACCTTCCGGAGACATTTGAAACCCCACCTCTTTAAGGAATACCTGGGATAGGCTAAAGTATTCCTTCTAACCCCCCCCCCCCAAATTGTAAAGTGGTTATCCCACTGGCTATAGGGTGAACGCACCAATTTGTGAGTCGCTCTGGCTAAGAGCGTCTGCTAAATGACGTTAATGTGCCCTTGAGCAAGGCACTTAACCCTAATTGCTCCTGTAAGTCGCTCTGGTTAAGAGCGTCTGCTAAATGACTAAAATGTAAATGTAAAATGTTAATTCTTCAAATTACTAAGACATTGCATTATTGGATTGCTATCTGAAAGCCAATTACCATTGACTTTGTTAAGTTTTCTGACGACACAACAGTGGTAGGCCTGATCAGCGACAACGATGAGACAGCCTATAGGGAGGAGGTCAGAGACCAGGCCATGTGGTGCCAGGATAACAACCTCTCCCTCAACGTGATCAAGACAAAGGAGATGATTGTGGACTACAGGAAAAAAAAGAGGACTGAGCACACACCCATTCTCATCGACGGGGCTTTAGTGGAACAGGTTGAGAGCTTCAAGTTCCTTGGTGTCCACATCACCAACAAACTATCATGGTCAAACACACCAAGACAGTTGTGAAGAGGGCACGACAAAATCTATTCTCCCTAAGGAGACTGAAAAGATTTGGCATGGGTCCTCAGATCCTCAAAAAGTTCTACAGCTGCACCATCGAGAGCATCCTGACTGGTTGCATCACCGCCTGGTATGGCAACTGCTTGGCCTCCGACTGCAAGGCACTACAGAGGGTAGTGCGTACGGCCCAGTACATCACTGGGGCCAAGCTTCCTGCCATCCAGGACCTCTATACCAGGCGGTGTCAGAGGAAGGCCCTAAAAATTGTCAAAGACTCAAGCCACCCTAGTCATAGACTGTTCTCTTTGCTACTGCACGGCAAGCTGTATCGGAGCGCCAAGGCTAGGTCCAAAAGGCTTCTCAACAGCTTCTACCAAGCCATAAGACTCCTGAACAGCTAATCATGGCTATCCGGACTATTTGCTAAGGCCCCCCCCCCCCACCCCACCCCACCTCATCCCCCTCTTTTACGTTGCTGCTACTCTGTTTACTATTTATGCATAGTCACTTTAACTCTACCCATATGTACATATGACCTCAATTACCTCGACTAGCCAGTGCCCCCGCACATTGACCCTGTACCGGTACCCCACTGTATATAGCCTCCCTACTGCTATTTTTTTTTACTGCTGCTCTTTAGCTATTTGCTTTTATTTTTTATTTTTCTTAATTAACATTTTTTTCTTTTTACATTTTTCTTTTAAAAACTGCATTGTTGGTTAAGGGCTTGTAAATAAGCATTTCACTGTAATGCCTACACCTGTTGTATTCGGCGCATGTGGCAAATACATTTGATTTGTTTTGATTTTCACTAGTCTCCATATCTGTTTCCCTCAACTTGGACTTCCTTCCATATAGGAAGACCTCAATCACTACTGCTTAAACACACGGATCACTCTCAAACAACATTCTGCTTTTCCCCCTATTTCAAGGTTTTAAACAAAACAAAACAAACATGATAACCTTCTCAATATTTGAAGGCATTGTTTTCATTTTAGTATACCTTCAAAAAGTTACTCTATATTTTTTATACCAATCTCTGTTGGATATTCACTTTCTGCTTCACTATTTATTAAATGTATTATTTTAAGATTAATTTGTAATGCTTTGGAGGGATCAATATCTATTGACTGGGTTGCACTGTCTATCAGTCCCCAGTAGATGTTGCGCTCCATCCATAATAAGTTTGGCACCTGAGACAGCAGGGAAACAGATTAAGTCTCTATTTTGCCTACTCACGAATTGGTTTAGAACATCATCATTTGGGATATCAACGAAAACTCTATCGGGAGTACAATAAATTGTAGCCTTTTAAGTTTAAACAGAAAATCATGTTCAACATTCATTGGTCCTATTTAACAGGGTAAGGGGTTTATTTCAAAATGCATTACCATGGTGGAGGTAATTTTCTAAGCATTTATAGTTTTATTGGTTAGGGGTAAGTCATGTCCCATACAATGCTTTAACCTCATCTTTATCAAATGATCCATAAAGGGACCATTCTGAACAGAATACGTTTTACACCACTTACGTACGTCTACGTGTGGGTGTGCAAGTTGTATGTTATTATTATTATTTATATTGTTACTTCATCAGATCTCTAGTAACCCATTACACAAATATTATGTTACTTTATCTCTAGTAACCAATTATAGATTTGTGCTACATCACAAATTCCTCTTCTACACCAGCGTTCTATTCATACAGGGGTTTAAATATTCACTAGTGTTCTATTTAACAGCATATTCGGGAAATAGTACTTTCTCCTTTCATATCTCCATACAGAATCCCTTTATAACGTTATAAATCTTTAGGTTTTCACCTCCACACCGCAGCAACAATCACAGCGCAGCAGCCCAAGAGGTACACATCTCTTTCATATCGAGGAAATCAGTGTCCGGGGGCTGTTACCTCTCAAATATTTAAATGGCTTCTCCTGTCAGTGCTCACTACATGTAGATCGATGGGTGGTGGTGGACAGAACCCCTAGAAAATGTTATAGATCTAAAAACTCAGCTCACACAGAACTGGTTGGGGTATCCATTCTTTCACGCACTCAGTAATCCTCTTTCACACCGGAGCTAGTCATTTACATTTTACATTTTAGTCATTTAGCAGACGCTCTTATCCAGAGCGACTTACAGGAGCAATTAGGGTTAAGTGCCTTGCTCAAGGGCACATTTACGTCATTTAGCAGACGCTCTTATCCAGAGCGACTACAAATTGGTGCATTCACCCTATAGCCAGTGGGATAACCACTTTACAATTATACTTTTTTTTTTGGGGGGGGGGGGGGGGGGGGGGGGGGTAGAAGGATTACTTTATCCTATCCCAGGTGTTCCTTAAAGAGGTGGGGTTTCAAATGTCTCCGGAAGGTGGTGAGTGACTCCGCTGTCCTGGCGTCGTGAGGGAGCTTGTTTCACCATTGGGGTGCCAGAGCAGCGAACAGCTTTGACTGGGCTGAGCGGGAACTATGTTTCCGCAGAGGAAGGGGAGCCAGCAGGCCAGAGGTGGATGAACGCAATGCCCTCGCCTGGGTGTAGGGACTGATCAGAGCCTGAAGGTACGGAGGTGCCGTTCCCCTCACTGCTCCATAGTCCCCTGACAGCTCTCATTCACTCAGTAATTTAAAGCTAAATTTCTCAATCAATCTTATTATCCAAATTCCAATCTTAGTAGTAATAATTTCAATCCATTTATTATCCAAATTTCAGTCAGCCAAAATTCAATCTTAATAGTAATAACTTCCAAATGTCAATCAATGTTATTATCTTAATATCCAAATTTCAATCATTCAGCTCTTGTTATCCAAATTTCAATCAGCTTAATATGTCATATCTCACAATTACACAACTTTCACGTCCACATTCACTTAGTACTATTCCCAAACACACTCGGTAATCTCCCTCATTACCCCATGTGCATCGCCAACAATTCTCTTGTCGTTACTTGCTATGCACCATATGTATCTTCACCATACATATAAAATAGCACAGAAGTGCACCTTATGCTATTCTCTACCAGTGGCTGCAGACCACGTAGACATTTCTCTTATAAATGCCTACAGACAGCAAGCAGTCAGCGGGGCATGGTACCGTTACTAGCCCTCACTCTAGTCTTCTCTCTAAGACTAGCTCTAGCCTTCTTCTACGTCATATGTATCTTCAACGGTTCCTCTATAGTCTCTACAGTCGGCATAGTCTATACAGTGGTCCCTGAGCATCTGTAGTCCCTGAGCATCCATAGTCCCAAAAGCATCCATAGTCCCTATAGTTATAGCATCTATGGTCCCTACAGCATCTATAGTCCCTCATTATCTACAGTCCCTCATCATCCATAGTATCAATAGTTTATATAGTCATTAATGCTATGGTCTCTATAGACTCTATAGTCTTGCTGCTTCCCATACATGTAAATTACACCCCGTATTCAAAAACACCTCATGTTATTTTGTAGGCTAGTGGTACCCTCCTTCTATATCTTTATGTATTTTCATTGGTTTTATATATATGTTTATACAAATTCATTTAAATTGACTTACTGAAATCAGTTGCCGTCCCTCAATTGTTCGCAGATGATGTGTCTCCTCCTGGGCAGCTCACAGTAAGGGTCTGAGCGGGTCCTCGTCCTCTTTTGGTCCGACAGGAATTTCCCTTACGCTTCATAAAATGTGCCATCAGTTTTCCTCGCAGACCCCCAATGGAAAGCTCCTCAGGCAGAATCAATCAATAGTTTGTGATGCCAAATTGTCGTGGAAATTCTTACACAGGGACACTCAAAGTCAATCTTAAATAAATCATTGTTTATTGTCAGCACGCTGGAGAGGTTCCAACCAACTCAATGCACCATAGTACACATGTCAATCAGGAGCTCTGCTGGGGCAGTCCCAGCAGTTGTCTTATATGGCTATACACAGACAAGTTACATTTGCATGATTTAGCATAATTAATTCATCATTAGCATTTTGTTTCATTCATGTGATCGACCAATACTGGTTCATAACATGTGACAGACCAATACCTCACGAGGCTTCTACTCTCTAAGCTGAGACCATGGAACTGAGATATCTTCCGCTCTCAAAATAAAGGTCTGGGCGTACTGCCAAATTGCAGATACTGATATGTGAGGATTCGTCCAATCAGTCACTTGCATGACCACAGAAATTGGTTATTAGAACATCACATGAATAGAACATAGAAATGGATAGAATAGAAAAGCACCAACATTAAAATGTCCATCACACTGCTCCTGCAGATTCATGCTCTACAACATACATAGAGTACGACCCTACCTCACACAGGAAGCGGCGCAGGTCCTAATCCAGGCACTTGTCCTCTCCTGTCTGGACTACTGCAAGTCGATCTTGGCTGGGTTCCCCGCTTGTGCCATCAAACCCCTGAAAACTTATCCAGAACGCAGCAGCCCGCCTGGTTTTCAACGTTCCCAAGTTCTCTCATGTCACCCCGCTCCTCCGCACACTCCACTGGCTTCCAGTTGAAGCTCACATCCACTACAAGACCATGGTGCTTACCTCCGGAACAGCAAGAGGAACTGCCTTTCCCTATATATATATATATTTTAAATACACTTAACCAGCACATGCACTTTACCCCATCCCCTTCTAGCTCTGACTCTACTGACAGCTACGTTATTGAGGAAAAATTTACTTTCTATGCCTGTGATATGTGTTTGTCCCACCTAGTTATCTTAAGATGAATGCACTAACTGTAAGTCTCTCTGGATAAGAGTGTCTGCTAAATGACTAAAATGTAAAACATTTAAAATGTCCAGGTGGGAGAGGGCAGTGTGAAGTGTAATTGAGATTGCGTCATCTGTGGAACTGTTGGGGCGGTATTACGTATTAGAGTGGGTCCAGGGTGTCTGGGATGATGGTGTTGATGTGTGTCAGGACCAGCCTTTCAAAGTACTTCATAATTACAGATGTGAGTGCTACAGGGCGATAGTCATTTAGGCAGGTTACCTTGGAGTTCTTGGGAACATGGACAATGGTGGTCACCTTGAAACATGTTGGGATTACAGACTGGGACAAGGAGAGATTGAAAATGTCTGTGAAGACACTTGCCAGCTGGACTGTGCATGCTTTGAGAACACGCCCTGGTATTGCCCGCGAGTATTAACCTGTTTAAAAGTTTTACTCACATCAGCCACGGACAGCGAGATCACACTCATCCGGAACAACAGGGGCTTTCACACAAGACTCAGTGTATTATTCCTTGAAGTGAGCATAAAAGGCATTTAGCTCGTTTGGGAGTTCTGCATCACTGGGCATCTCACGGCTGAGTTTCCCTTTGTAATCCGCTATCGTCTGCAAACCCTGCCACATACGACGAGCGTCGGAGCCGGTTTAATAGGATTCCACCTTCCTCTTATATTGTCCTTTTGCATGTTTGATGTAACGTCGGAGGCCGTAGCGGGCTTTCTTATATGTGTCCATGTCCGTGTCACGTTTCTTGTAAGCGGTAGCTCTAGCCTTTAGCCCAGTGCGAATATTGCCTGTAATCCATGGTTTTTGGTTTGGATATGTTCATATAGTCACTGTGGGATGACGTCATCTATGCACCTTATTGATGAAGCCAGTGACTAATGTGGTAAACTTCTCAATACTATCTGATGAATCCTGGAACATATCCCAGTCTGTACTAGTAAAACAGTCTTGTAGCCTCTCATCTGCTTCATCGGACAACTTCCATATTGAGCATGTCACTGGTACTTCCTGTTGGAGATGTTTTTCATAAACAGAAAGCAGGAGAAGAGTCATGGTCAGATTTGTAGAAGGAAGGATGAGGGAGGGCCTTAAAAGCGTTTCTGTGGGTAGAATAAAAGTAGTCTAGAGTTTTAGCGTCCCTAGTGGCACAGGAGACATGTTGGTAAAAGTGAGGTAGAATGGTTGTACGTCTCCCTGCGTTAAAGTCTCTGATAGGAGACTCTGGAACGAAGCTCATCCATCTTATTCTTGAGTGACTGGATATTTGCCAATAAGTAAGCATTTCACTGTAAGGTGAATTTCACTGTTGTATTCGGCGCATGTGACTAATAAAATTTGATTTGATTTGAATAGAGCGTAGTGCCGGTCGATATTCTCTTCGTCTCAATCTCACCAGGATGCCGGCACGTTTTGGTAGCCCATGAAACAAAGGAATGGAGTAAGGTATAAACAAGGGAACAGCTGAGTCGGTGTTGAAGTCTGATTTGAAGTCGAAATCATGGTTAGTAACTGTTGATCTGATGTCCAGAAGTGCTTGGCGGTCATATGTGATAATAGTATGAACTTTCTGTACCAAAAATTAAGATAAACACGAGTCACTAAATTGCAAAGACAAGTTGGAACTTCTCTGTCGGAGCCATCTTTTTTACAATCTGATAATATTCTTTACTGTCTTTTTTACCGTCGGTGTATGTTGATGTTGGAGAGCAATCTAACTGTCTGTCCCCAGGTTTCACTCCTTTGATCCTGGCTGCTACAGCAGGGCATGTTGGTGTGGTGGAGATCATGCTAGATAAAAGAGGGGATATCGAAGCCCAGTCTGAGCGCACCCAGTCTGAGAACCAAAAACACGCCACTCTCCCTGGTCTGCTCTGGAGGAAGATAAGAGGTGCTGCTCTTCACTCAAACACATTCTTCCCTGAACAACACATCAGTTACTTGTTACCTTTTTTTGTAAAACACTGGGGTATGTCTTTAGTGGAAATTCCCCAAAGGTGTTCTGTGGATTGACTAAGCTGTGGTCCATTCTTTCCAGGTGGTGGAGCTGTAGCTGCTGTGCGGGGTCAACAAGGAGCACTGTAACATTTTAGACTACACTCTCCTCTCAGCCTGGCCGCCATCAACATCATCAAGATCCTCCTAAATGCTGGCGCTGAAATCAACTCCAGGTACGACAGTTTATCAACCCCTGCGGTCAAGCTGCTGCTGGACAAGGGCTCAGATATCAACGCTCAGATTGAGACCAACCCCAACACGGCACTGACCCTGGCCTGCTTCCAGGGCCAGGCGGAGGTGGTCAGTCTGCTGCTGCACCGCAAGGCCAACGTGGAGCACCGCACCAAGGTGAGAGCAGCAGCCATCGGCTGAACCTGACATGTCATGTTATCTGGGCTAGAGTCAAAGACATTAGGAATCAGGTTTGATGTTAGACAGTGTGGTGTCTGTGTGGTGCAATATGTCACTGACACATACATTCTCTCTAAGACTGGTCTGACTTCTCATGGAGGCTGCACCGGGTGGCTATGCTGAGGTGGGGCACGTGCTGCTAGACAAGAACGTTGATGCCAACGCACCACCTGTCCCATCCTCCCGATACACCGCGCTTACCAACGCTGCAGACAAGGGCCACTACAAATACAGTATGAGAATGTTATTTCATTCATAATATCGTTCCTCTCCAGACCTGTAACTCCTTTCTGAGTGAGTTATTACAATGTTACAACCAGCAGTGTGTGTAGTTAGGCAGTTGCTTTCGGCTAAAGTACAAATGATTCATAAACTAATTGATACAAATACTCTATACTACTGAATGAGTTACCTTTCTGTTATAAAAACATTTTGATTAGCTTACATATGTGACCCTTTTCAAGAAGCTATGCATATGTCTCAAGTCACTTCTTCACAGGAGAGGCATTTAAAAGTACACTATATATAGAAAAGTATGTGGACACCCCTTCAAATTAGTGGATTTGGCATGACAATGCCCCTGTGCACAAAGTGAGGTCCATACAGAAATGGTTTGTTGAGACCGGTGTGGAAGAACTTGACTGACCTGTACAGAGTCCTGACATAAGGGACGCCGACGGCATTTGCCATATGATCGATGAGAAACATAATATGGCAAATGGACGGCCCCTAACTACACGTCTGCGGGTGCGCTAAAAATAGGCCAAGGGCCTCGGGTCGAGCGCCAAGGCCCGTTCATCCCGGGAAGTCACGAAAGAAAGTTTCCAGGACACTCGGTTTGCGAGATAAAAATGTTTTCTTCTTTTTTTCTGCTGTATCGGACAATTCCACAGGGTGGCGACCCGCTGTATATGGCAAATGGACATTTCATCACCAAAAGGACATGGCCATTTCTCGTAAACGGAACAGCAATGTAACACTATGTCCAATTCACAATGGTAAATTCCCATTGTAATATATTGCTAATGGACAGTGTCCATTACACATTGCCAGTCTTAACATGTTATGATGGGGACTGTCCATTTCCAATGGACAGGCTGAACTCAACACTAACGAGTGAGGGAGAGGAACCACTATGTCTGTTTGACTCATACTGTATGTTGCTAATGGACTTTTTGCCCATTGGCATTAAATTACTCTGCTAATTGGACAGTCTATTACACATAATACATGCCAGTCTTAACATGTTATACTGCAATTGGACAGTGTCTTTTGCCAATGTATATCAATAAGGACTTCCCATTACGAAATGGACATGCTGAAATTAACACCAACAAGAAATTCGGATTTCCTATGACTTCCTATGATCAAACATGACAAATAGACCTTCTCGGTTGATTCAGGACTTAGCATACTGATATATACCATTTGGTCATTATATAGGCCATTTGGACATGGTTCACTGACTTTTGGGTTTGGAACTGACTTCCTATGATCATAAATGGCAAATGGACATAACATCTTGATTTAGTACTTTCAATACTTACATATGCCATTCGGACATTATATATGCCATTTGGACATGGTTCACTGACTTTTGGATTCAGAACCCGACTTCCTGCGACCATATATGGCAAATGGATATAACATCCTGATTTAGTACTTTCAATACTTACATATGCCATTTGGACATGGTTCTGTGACTTTCGGGTTCGGAACCCAACTTCCTATGATCATATGTGACAAGTGGACACTTTGCCCATTTGGAGTATAATATGTGACAAGTTAATATTTTGACCATTTGCAGTATAATATGCCTGATATGGACATAACATAGGCCTTATGGACAAACTCGCATAAAATAAAACAAATCTATATCCATACGGTTCTTTAGTAATGTATAATTTAGATAAAATCGAAAAAAAGCACTTTTGAAGACGTTTTTATCATTTGTTATTTCACCCTTGAGATTTGACTTTGGTGTCCATTTGCAATATACTTTCCGGCGGTGGAGCACGCTCGCCCCCCTTAGGATTTTTTTAATTATTACATTGGCATTTGCCATATACCACTTGCAATATGTTTTACACCATTTGGCGTCCATTTGAGTGGTATCTGAAATTGTGTTCATGTTTCGTCTAATGGCAATAAGTTGCCATTCATTTTTGTCCATTAGGCATATGCTTTCCCTTACATCAACCGAAGAACTTGACTGGCCTGCACAGAGCCCTGACCTCAACCCCATCAAACACCTTTGGGATGAATTGGAACGCCAACTGTGAGCCAGGCCTAATCGCCCAACATCATTGTCTGACCTCACTAATGCTCTTGTGGCTGAATGGAAATAAGTCCCTGCAGCAATGTTCCAATATCTAGTGGAAAGCCTTCCCAGAAGAGTGGAGGCTGATATAGCAGCAAAGGGGGGACCAACTCCATATTAATGCCCATGATTTTGGAATGAGATGTTCGAAATGAGATCTGGAACATGTGAACTTTCATGTGCCTTAATAACAAACTTGTATGCCATCTGTAAATATGAATACGAATATGAATTGTTAAATTACGAGCCTAGTTTGTTTAGCCAAGGAAAGAGACAGGAACCTTCCCACTAGCCATGATTGTCTGAGATAATGGATGGGCGAGAAATGAGTTCGGATTGGTCTACCATGTAGCTCGCATCTGTCTATAACATGAGCTGTTCAGTATGTGTAGATCATCCTTGCTACCGCAGCTTTTCTGAACGATATAACGTTAGCCATGGAGAACTGCAAAAGTGTTGCTACTGCTCTCAACAACATTGCTGCCCTGAATTTAGCAGGCGCTATTGACAAGATCAGTGGGAAAAAGTTGTGATGGACTACTTTCTGCAAACGGTCAGTGGGACACAACTGGCCAAAAAAGCTGTAGTTAGCTACAAACAAAATGGAAAAGACACAGTCTTACTTAGTTAAACTGCTTCCAGTCTGCCATGAAGCCTTCATCCATGTATATGGGTAAGAGTCTAGCTACATTTTCAGATATTATACGTTTCTAATTTTGTCATATAGTTGTTTTCATTTCAAGTTAAAGCATACTGTCACCTAGCTAGCGAATGTTAGCTTGCTGGCTCGCTAGCTAATGTTACGTGTATGATCTGCGTAGTACTGTTATTTGTATCTCAGAAAGCCATTTGTGTTGCTAGTTATAGCCTAATGTTGGCTAGCTAACTAACATTGAACCTAGTTGGTTAGCTTTAGCTACCTGTAGATTCATACTACAGCATTTCATGCATGGTGGCTAGCTATGACAATCCGTTTGTACTGTAGCTATGTGTTGGGATTATGGTTAATTGTTTAGCTAGCTAGCTAGCTAGCTACATGTATAAAACAAAAGACTCCACTATGACACATGATTACATGGCCCATCAAGTTTAAAGATGGTGCCGTACTGGATGGCCTCCGTTTTGCAAGATCTGACCAAAATTTGCTATTTTGTGATTATGTTGATGTTTATTTTTACTATATTTTCACAAAATGTATCCGCTATTATTTCTTACAACCAACAATAACTTTTGAACATCAGATCGGCTACTCAAGAGGCAAGGGGGGGGGGGGGGGATCCTGGTAAAATTAAGGCAAAGGGAAAACCGGCCACCTCGTCCCTCCATTCTACTCAATAATAAGATGGATGACCTCCGATCGCGGATTTGCTACCAACAGGACTCTCGAAACTGCAATTTTATTTTCTGAAACATGGCTCTCGGACAAGATACCCCCCAATGGCCATCCAACTCGATGGATTCTCCATTCAACGGGCGGACAGGACAGTTGAGTCGGGGAAATCGAGGGAGGGAGGGGTTTGCCTCTACATCAACACCAACTGGTGGGAAACCTGTTTCAGTCTTCCAGAGATTTGAGACTGGGACGGAGGTTCACCTTCCAGCAGGACAATGACCCTAAGCATACTGCTAAAGCAACACTCGAGTGGTTTAAGGGGAAACATTTACATGTCTTGGAATGGCCTAGTCAAAGCCCAGACCTCAATCCAATTGAGAATCTGTGGTATGACTTAAAGATTGCTGTACACCAGCGGAACCCATCCAACTTGAAGGAGCTGGAGCAGTTTTGCCTTGAAGAATGGGCAGAAATCCCAGTCGCTAGATGTGACAAGCTTATAGAGACATACCCCAAGGGGGGGGGGGGGGGGGTGAATAGTTATGCACGCTCAAGTTTTCTGTGTTTTTGTCTTATTTCTTGTTTGTTTCACAAGAAAAAATATTTTGCATCTTCAAAGTGGTAGGCATGTTGTGTAAATCAAATGATACAAACCCCACAAAAATCCATTTTAATTCCAGGTTGTAAGGCAACAAAATAGGAAAAATGCCAAGGGGGGTGAATACTTTCGCAAGCCACTGTATGTTGCGTTTTCTTATAGAAAACCATAAGCTTGACTTTTTAAAAATGTATGTAAATTCTTTCCATATGGTAGGTTATACATTGACATTATGCTTCATAAGAAATTGTGTAGTTGTTGATTAATGTCTGTATATTACTCTTCAGGGTCAGTGATGTGAAAGTGAGTGAGTAAAAAGCCAAAAGCAGACAATTTTTATAAAATGTTTTTATTTGTTTAATTGGGGGCTAATTGTAATGTATGAGATTCATGGCATGTTCTGTAATAGACATTGTCTCCTGTTCTTATCAAATATAGATACAAACCCAGTAACATTATAAGGATCCAATTTATATTAAAATAAACAATATTGATACACATAAGCAATTATTGTTGACAATTGTAGGCATCTATATATTTACTGCAATACATCTCGGCATGGAACTTGTTATAGAATAGAACTGATTATATATTGACAGTATAGCATTACCTCTTCATCAGTACACAAAGCGTCATAACAAAAGAAGCACCAGGATAGTCCGTTTTTCTGTACAGTTAATACATTTCTTAAGAGTTTTATAAATATGCTTATACTGCAACCATAGAATGTTTAAAAAAAAATCATAACTCGTTTTTTAAAATGTATTTATATTTTTAAAAGACGCAAAGCAACGCTGATTTGAAGGGCAAAACAAACAAAGAAACAGAACAGTCAGAAAACAGTCAAAACAAAGGAAAGGAACAATGTTCAAGTCATTTTGACTCTTGACAGTCTAAAAGAGTCTGGTTAGGTTGATTCCTTCTTTGAAAATGCCTTTTTTTCACACTGAAACCCTCAACAGTAACTTATTGAAGGAAATCTTGGAAATAACAATCTAAAACAGATGATTAAGTACAAACAATTGTATACTAGGACAGGTTCTGTTAGCTATGTTCTACTGTATATTCGTAGAGCTGGGCCCTTAGGAACCTGTCCATCCCATGCTTCTCCCTTTTGGTTTACTTTAGTGTTTCAAGTTTGACATTTACTCTTATCGGTATGCACGCAGTGGAGTTGGAAATGATCATCTTATGATAGAACATGGAGTCAATTCTCTATTGTATTTTTTTGGTATTGCAAATAACAAGGGCGATTTGTTTCATGTGAAAAGGCAACAGAATCCAGAGCAAAAAAAACTGCACTGTAACGTTTTACAAAAAAAGTCTCAAACACAGAAGGCACACATCTAGAAACTGAGCATGTGGTGGAGAAGGTAATCTATAGTGATTTGGATATGTAGACCAATAACTAATATGGCAGATTTTAACCCATTCAGGTGTCAATATTAGGACAGTCTCAAACGAATCTGTCCTAATATGGACACTGTACTACTCACACTGGTCAATGAGACTGTAGTTAGAAGAGGGGAGGAAGGTAAAGAAAGTTCTTACCCAGGGTGATGCCTTTGAACCTGACCCCATCTGGTTGCTCCTCGTACTCATCTTCAAAATGGCGCCCCCAAAAGCTAAAGGCACATATTCCACATTAAAATCTTCTGGGCATGTTGACGACGACTAAAGGGTTTTAGTTTTCTAGCACCTGATCACCTTATAGTACTTCCCATCAACTCTACCAGTTTGACTTAAGTGCAGAAACCTGTGGTCCTGGATACATTGAAACCAAGTGATGCCCAACCTGGTGTGGGCCATTGTCTCCAAAGCCTGACTCACTATGGTAGACAATGCGTTAGTGAAGATACCTGGTGGTCAAACCCTTATATGCACGTACAATGAATTGGAGCAAAATGTATAACAAAAAAAGAATAACAACATAGAAAACAACCAATACATTTCTCCAAGTTAAACAATGACTACATTATCAAAAGGCAAATATTAGGTATATTGCAACGCTCTCTGTGACACCTCTATCAACATTATCATCAAATATAAGTCTCTGTCACTATGTGAGTCAGTCTAGGGCCAGTCTAGGCAGATTGACAGCACAGACGGAGCCCAATCTGCCAGCACAGGCAGGCACACAAACACTAAACATTTTCAAGAGGACCGACAGCCAGCCTATGGCAGCACAAGCTGGTCTGTGTGGGACTCCCTCATTGAACACAGGCATCTCTATGGAACAGGAAGAGCTAATTTCAGACAGGGAAGGGGGGTGATCGAGCCAACCCTAAAGGCACACCATTTGAAATCTTCGAGATTATCTGTTTTGTCTGAGTGGTTCTGTTTTGCTTTCATCTGAGCACCCAGTCTAGACGGTACAGTTCATTAGTGGGGCAAGGCAATGTACATTACCAACGCAACCACACATGTTATGGGAGAACGAAAAACATTGGATCTTTCAATGCCTTAAACTTCTCTATGATGTGCATTGTATTAGCAGATATGTTGAAAAATTGAGTTCTGAGGAAAATGTTGCTCTGTACTTGATGCAACATGACATGATACCCACATTATGTTGTTTCATTAACATTCCTTAACATCTGTCGTCATTATCCATGACATTTCATTTCACGTACCGAAAAAAGGTTGTTGTAATGAACAGTCATACAATGTTACGACGGGCATAATGCCAAGTGTTATGTCAAGGTTACACAGCGGTATGGTATGCCAATAGTGGGTCCTCTTTCTTAGTTTCTAATGGGTCACTTCCCACCCTGCCTGCATAGTTATCAGTCAGCACTGGTTTCCCTGAAGAAAATACTGGAATCCAACCAGGAAACCTATCCAAGCTCCCCTCTGAGGTCATCAAACTGCATCATGAGATGTCACCAGGGGTCAGAAGTCAAATTGCCACGCCCCTTATATCAATCCTTTAGCTGCCTGCTTATAAGGGGTCAGACATTTTTCTTTTGATTTAGGTATTTGTCCTCAAATTGAATGTAAAGATACAGTACAAAACACATTTAAGCAGGGCCGACGGGAAGAAAGCGAGAGGGGCGAGTGGACAGCCTTGTCTGGTGTCTTTTTTCCTCGACCTCTGTCCTCTCTTCCCTCCCTCTCTTCTTTGCTGTGATACCAGCTTAAGTTGGGACCCCTTGCAGTTTGAGTCTTGCCTCAGAGGGAGCAGTTGCACAATTTATCAATAGAGAAGTGCGACCAATGCTGACAGAGGGAGATTGTGTCTCTCTCCTTCTTAATTAAAGTGCTAAGAGATGCCTGTTGGAGAGAAGCCCAGACAGTAGGCGGATTTGTCCAGCGTACAGTTGCCTGCTAATCTCTCTCCCTCTCCTTTTCTTTTCCTTTCCTTGCTACCTCTCTCCCTCATCAGCGTCTTGGGGCAACTTCACCCTACTTCTGGTCAGACCATCTGGACTCTCTGCAGATAAAGGACTTGAACTGGAGTTCAAAGGTTGATGGCTTTGTACACAAAACTCCAGTTTTCACACAAAAGCTGGCATTTATAAAAACTGACCTTGACGTTAGAATGTGCTTATCCTCCCGCAAACTGTAGACCATGCACAGTTTTTTGTGGTTGAAGTATTGCATTGCAAGAAGGCAAATGTAGCCTAGTAGCCTTGTGCAAATTGGGAATATATAATGACTTATTCATAACAAAAAAACAGGTAGCTAAATATAATAACAAGATGCAATCATTTTTTATTGAGAAGAGCAAAAATCTACTTATTTTATCTTTGCATTCTAAAATAATTTGAAATCTATTTCCGATTATTTATTTCGTTTCCATGATCATTGCAGAATAAATTCCTCACCTTTTCTGACTGTGTTGGTTTTATACTCACGAAATAGCCTATAGGCCTACAACAAGTTAGGATCGGCTACCATTCGTCCCATCTCTCATTTAATTGGACCACTTCATAGTAGTAAAAAGATAAGCTACCGGCATTTAAAGTATTTTGCTCTATCCTATCCGATGCGCAGTTTAACGGTAAAACAGACGGTTCACCTTTTCCATTGACGTTTGTAGGCTACGTCTGAATACTGTAATGTCCAATTTCTTGAGTAGCCTAAACAATGTTTCATTTATAAACATAATACATATATCATAACCATTCCACCTTTTCTGGCCATGATGAGTTCATATTCCCAAAGTAGCAATACAACAAATTACCATGCGCATCTCTCATTTAATTGGGCCTATTAGATAGGCTATTATAATTTCAAGTTTTTATATGTTTTTGCTCAATGCAGTCGAAACGGAGCGCAGTTTATAACATACAGTAGAATTTAACAGGTGAACAGACAGTTGATCTTTTGCATTGAAGTGTGTAGGCTACCACTGTAAGTAGGCCTACTGTAGTTGAAATGTTTTTTAGAATTCATGGGCAGTGCAGCATATTTAGGTTCGGTGGACAGTAAATGCAAAACATTATTGAATAAAAACGACCTGTTTACAGGTCCACAACAATTAGCATTTTTTTTTTGTGTTTCAGAAATGGTCAGATACAGCAAACGTCACCGAAAAAAAAAAAACATTCTGCCAACACCTCCAAAGACATTTGATAAAGTTCGCCATTTATATTTCCTTTAGATATACTGTCTTGGCCTAATTCCAATACTACCAAATTATACAGCAAATAAGGCTGTTATTGTCACCATAAAAGGTGAATGATGGGTGTTATTCAGGCACAGTTATAATGCTTGTTCACGTGCGCAGTTTTACGACAGGTCTGATTTTTTATAATGGGAAACATGCGTATGTATGGCGTGCTCCAAGTGTATAAATCCAAGTGCAGCTATTGAGAGTAAAATGTACGCAACGGTTATAAATGAGGCCCCAGGTTTCCTTGACAATAGAGGTCAATTTTTTCTCTCGTTCCATTTCATTATAATAAAAAATAGTGCAATTATTTTCAACAATTAGGCTATATAAATACCTCTAAAATCGTAATTTTTAAGTTAGTTTTTTGTTTCCATATACGTGTATATATGCCATATATATACAGTACCAGTCAAAAGTTTGGACACACCTACTCATTCCAGGGTTTTTCTTTATTTTTACTATTTTCTACATTGTAGAATAATAGTGAAGACATCGAAACTATGAAATAACACATATGGAATCATGTAGTAACCAAAAAAGTGTTAAACAAATCAAAATATATTTTCTATTTGAGATTCTTCAAAGTAGCCACCCTTTGCCTCGATGACAGCTTTGCACACTCTTGGCATTCTTGAAATGAAACTTGAAATACCCCTGCTCTCCTCTCTTATGATACATATTGCAGATTGATTTTCTTTTTCTCCAGATAAACAGTCTTGAATCTTGTGCAAACATCTCTTTAGAAAATATCATAATAAAAAAAAACAAGAAGAGCATTCGCACACAGGAACTCCTGAACTTGTCTGGCCAAAGACCCAAAGATAGTACTAAACTCGACTAGACAAAGAACTAAAGTACAGTACTAAACTCAGATGGGTCCAGATAGTACAGCAAGATGGATATATATCACTTCAGTGGGCACAGTGCTGAACTCAATTGACCTCGACTCAGGATTCTACTCCAGTACTCATGTTGACACACATGGCCTGACATCACAGACCCAGTCAGCTGTCAATAATGTGTTTCCATAGATGCCAACGTTGACCACCGCACCCTCTGATGCAGATTGATGAGGAGTGATGGGGGTCTGTCTGGCACTGGGGCTAACTGGGTCATGAGCTAAAAGGCTAACTGGGGCTAACGTATGAATCTCAATCTTGGATCCCGTGAGAGCCTGAACCTGGCAACCTGTTACAAGAGTGCTATCAATGCCCTCCCTGTACAAGCCAGTACACGGACAGTATTCAAAGCCAGAAGGGGGTTAGGGGGCGGCTCACTAAAATAACCATCTGCATCTCAAAAAAAGGAAGACCTGGTAATTCTAAAACTCCCGGAGGAACTAAGGATAAACTACGAGGAGATAAGTAACTAGAAATGATGCAGCTTGTAGTGAAGCCCAATGCAAAGGGATACAAAAACAAAATAAACCTAAATACTTGGCGAGATAATTTTGCTTTGTTTTGTTGTTTTTGCATTTGCCAGTACAGAAAAGAAGCTGTAAGCACGGAGACAATAAAAAACAAGTACATATTTATACAAAGTAAGTTTAGTTGTGACGGGTTTCAGTAAGACAGTGACCGGGGGATAAAGTTAAGAGCGGAGCGCAGTCCTTTTTCTTTGTGCGCCTGCCTCCCCCTGCCACCGCATGTCGCCCTCCCCAACCCTGCCTGCCACCAACAGTTCAGCTAAAGTGCGCAGAGAAGGAGAAAGCATCCTCGGAAACAATGGCCGAGACCAACACTGTTGTCACACCTGCTCAGGTGTCTGCTTCTCCTTGTTGTTGTGCGCGTTCCTGCTCTCCAGGCTGCCCAGGTGGGCCTGCTGGAGAATCCCGTGGAGTAGCGAGGGCGGCGGCAAGGGACCCGGGCCTCCTAACCCGCCTCCACGCCCAGTGCCCCCGCAGCCACTGGAAGTCTGGTGGTGGTGCCTGGGTAGTGAAGAGGGGTGGTAGTAGTGCCCTATCACCTCGCTATAAGTTGGCGGTGCCCCTTCCACTCGGCTGGAGTAGGCCTGGGCGGCCGTGGCTACCGTGGTAGCGCTGACCCCGGGGTTGAGGCTGGGCGGTGGGCACAGGGAGGTGTCGAGGAGGTGGCTGTCGTAGACTGTGCGGTTGGGGGGGGCGCGCACCGATTCCCTGTTAAGCTCCATCTGCTGCTCGGGGTCGCGGAGCTGCAGGGTACAGGGGCCCTGGTAGGGCGGAGGCTCCTCGCCGTCCGACAGCGAGATGGTGGGCGGCAGGTCAATGATGGGGTGGGGCAGGTAGGGGTAGGTGGGCTGGAAGCGGGCCAGACGCTCCCTCTGCAGATAGGGGATGCGGTCCGGGGGACGCGGGGTGTACACCTGCTGCTGTAAGGGAGGAGGAGAGGGAGCGTTAGCACACACACATTTCTATTTGGTCATTTGGTGAGGAAAAAGGTTTAACAACGTATTTCCATTGTCATCTCTTTGTTCAGAACCCTCTTTTATCCAGTGACTTAGTGTGGAGGGTATATTGATACAGCACCATTGTTGTCATCGCTATGCTATGAACAGCGATAAACACTCATAGCCCATCTGCTCTAATATCCAAGGAGGGCCGCACAGATTTTTTGGGGGACCGATTTGTTTATCAAAATCAATTTGCTGCCAGAAAATGTGCAGTTATTTATATATATACATACAGTGGGGGAAAAAAAGTATTTAGTCAGCCACCAATTGTGCAAGTTCTCCCACTTAAAAAGATGAGAGAGGCCTGTAATTTTCATCATAGGTACACGTCAACTATGACAGACAAAATTAGAAAATAAAATCCAGAAAATCACATTGTAGGATTTTTTATGAATTTATTTGCAAATTATGGTGGAAAATAAGTATTTGGTCAATAACAAAAGTTTCTCAATACTTTGTTATATATCCTTTGTTGGCAATGACACAGGTCAAACGTTTTCTGTAAGTCTTCACAAGGTTTTCACACACTGTTGCTGGTATTTTGGCCCATTCCTCCATGCAGATCTCCTCTAGAGCAGTGATGTTTTGGGGCTGTCGCTGGGCAACACGGACTTTCAACTCCCTCCAAAGATTTTCTATGGGGTTGAGATCTGGAGACTGGCTAGGCCACTCCAGGACCTTGAAATGCTTCTTACGAAGCCACTCCTTCATTGCCCGGGCAGTGTGTTTGGGATCATTGTCATGCTGAAAGACCCAGCCACATTTCATCTTCAATGCCCTTGCTGATGGAAGGAGGTTTTCACTCAAAATCTCACGATACATGGCCCCATTCATTCTTTCCTTTACACGGATCAGTCGTCCTGGTCCCTTTGCAGAAAAACAGCCCCAAAGCATGATGTTTCCACCCCCATGCTTCACAGTAGGTATGGTGTTCTTTGGATGCAACTCAGCATTCTTTGTCCTCCAAACACAACGAGTTGAGTTTTTACCAAAAAGTTATATTTTGGTTTCATCTGACCATATGACATTTTCCCAATCCTCTTCTGGATCATCCAAATGCACTCTAGCAAACTTCAGACGGGCCTGGACATGTACTGGCTTAAGCAGGGGGACACATCTGGCACTGCAGGATTTGAGTCCCTGGCGGCGTAGTGTGTTACTGATGGTAGGCTTTGTTACTTTGGTCCCAGCTCTCTGCAGGTCATTCACTAGGTCCCCCCGTGTGGTTCTGGGATTTTTGCTCACCGTTCTTGTGATCATTTTGACCCCACGGGGTGAGATCTTGCGTGGAGCCCCAGATCGAGGGAGATTATCAGTGGTCTTGTATGTCTTCCATTTCCTAATAATTGCTCCCACAGTTGATTTCTTCAAACCAAGCTGCTTACCTATTGCAGATTCAGTCTTCCCAGCCTGGTGCAGGTCTACAATTTTGTTTATGGTGTCCTTTGACAGCTCTTTGGTCTTGGCCATAGTGGAGTTTGGAGTGTGATTGTTTGAGGTTGTGGACAGGTGTCTTTTATACTGTAAATATATAGGTCCATTATCATTTCTACATACTTCCTATCTAGTTTTAGACGTTCAAGAGTGGCCTGGAATGTTTTTTTTTGCCCATGATAATCATTGCCCCCCACCCCAAAAGAAAAACTCCTGTGGGCCGGATTGAATGGGCAGTAGTTTGTCCACTCCCACCCATAATCCACTTTACCTCGCTCATTCCACTGGTGGGCCCTGGGCCATCTGAAGACCACAGACTCCCATCCTGTGAGAAAGAAAGAAAAAAAGACAGAGAGAGAGAGAGAGAAAGAGAGAGAGAGAGAGAAAGAGAGAGAGAGACAGAGAGCATTTATCATGTCAATGGTACCATGTTGTGCCACTAGGTGGAGTACCTCCCTTTCCAGCCAAAGAGCCAACCACAGAGCATAGGGTGAAGATGATGAGATTAATCCCCCGAACCAATTTGGCCATACCCCAATGGCTAATAATGGAGGACTTCCTGTCCTTCTGTCCTAGCCTTGTTCTTTCCACCTAGATGGGCTGTGGATTAGACAATAGCTACATGTACTATTCAAGTGCTCTTCACAGACGCAATCCCAGATAAACACACAGACAGACACTGACCGTGACACAGAGAGAAAGAGAGAGAGAAAGAGAGAGCGAGAAAGGGGCGCTCTGTCATCTCTGACTCATACCCCCTACCGCAGAGTACACAGACGTCTGCATAACCCAAAGGGTTGTGCTCAATTAAGAATTGAATTGAGAATGCCTCATAAATTCCAATTCAATTAGTGAATTTGAATTGAAGCAGTAAACAGGATACAAAATTGCAATTCGAATTTGAATTAAAGGAAATATAATTGAATTCAGTGAAATTCAAATGCTTCTTCCAACTTACATTTTGTTCAATATGGGGAAAAGACTACAATTCCCAGAATGCATTCATTTACATTACATTTACATTTTAGTCATTTAGCAGATGCTCTTATCCAGAGCGACTTCCAGTTAGTGAGTGCACACATTTATAAAAAAAAAAAAATCATACTGGCCCCCCGTAGGAATCGAACCCACAACCCTGGCGTTGCAAGCGCCATGCTCTACCAACTGAGCTACACGGGGCCCAGTATGTTAAGTTTAAGTTGACCCTAAAGCCTTCAAAAAGAAGCCAAACAAATTAAATGGATGGTGGAAATATAATTTGCTATTCTAAGCACGAAGGTTAAAATAATATATGAACATTGTTTCCGGAGAAACTTAATATATTCTTTGGTATCTGGAAGTGTGACCTGTCAGATTCAATGAAACTCTCATGTTGTATGACTGAGTGAAATTTATTTGAATTGGACTGAATTAAATTCTACGTCCTGTCACTTAAACTCAAATTCTACATCTGGTGGGGTGTGGCCAATGCAATTCGAATTTCAACTCATAAAGTGAATGGGAGTCAAATTCCACAATTCTGGATTAAGCACAACCCTGATAGCCCAAACACACACACACACACACACACACACACACACAAACACACACACACACACACACACACACACACACAGAGACACACAGCATCCTGCCCCACATTTCCTAACAGATTATCACCCGGGCTAGGTGATTCAGAAAGCAGCAGTATGTGTGTGTGTGATTCAGAAAGCAGCAGCGCAGTCATATGGTTCTGGAATCTTCAGATCACTGCACTGGGCGATATGGCACAAAGAGCCATAAAGAAACACAGACATCAACAAATATACTGTATATAGTATACAGGTCCAACTGAATACCATTGTCTGTTTATCATATTTGTTTGCATTAGTAAAAAAATATCTGGTTTTCTGACATGGCTAGTTTGGGCCTGCCATGATGTCCAAATAGGACCCTGTACTCTGGCTTGCCTATTTCCAAGTACATACAATGCTGTTTTAATTTCATATTAAGTCTACACCCTGGTCTGTGTGGAGTAAAGGCTGTAAAGGAAAGTTTACTTCCTGGTTTGTTTGGAGGCTGTCAAAGAAAGTATATTGCCTGTAAAGATGTGTGGAGTGCTTCTAAAGACCGTAAAGTAAAGTCTATGTTCTGGTCTGCGTGGAGGCTGTAAGTCTACACCTTAGTCTGTATGAAGACTGTAAAGTAAAGTCTCCAACCCTGGTTAGTGTAGAGTACTTACGGAGGCCAGTGGTAGGTGGCGCCGGCGGGCCTGTCTGTCCCTGGAAATGAAGGAGCGTTCTGACAGGCGGTAGTGGTTGAGCAGGCAGGTGATCACTACCACCATCACCATCATCACCATGACGATCACCAGGATCTGCACAAACTCCAACTGGGCTGGAGAGAGAGAAGAGAGAGAGAGGGGACAGGTTAGAACTAGTGGAAGACGATCTGATTGTGTCACCTAAGCTTCATTAAAATATCACGTTTGGGAGCAGCAGAAGTGAGAGGACTCTATGTATTAGACCTTATTTTCTTGTCCAGCTCCTGTTATTATTGGATGTGCGTAAAACCCCCTTCATTCATAAAAGTGAAAGAACCCAAGAGGATAGATAGGAGGATATGGACATTGCACAGCTTATTGGGAAAGGGTGTTTGGGACCATGGTAATTGAAGGTCATGACAACTTAATCCGATCTTACGAAAAGCAACTAGCATAGCAACTAACTCGTTTTTACCTAGAAATGACCTAGAAACCAATATTGTAGAAATTATTTTGTAAAGCCCATGAGTATTCACAACTCAACTGAAATGTAAGCACATATGGCCAACTCATTAATAATCTGTCTCAGTTCATTGTATGTTATAACTTGCTGTAAGTTTAGCTACATCAATTACACTATTTATGAGGTTATAACTATGTAATAAAGCATAAAACCTGAATTAGAGTCGATGTCCGCAACCACGTGGAAAACATATTAGCTTAATTTTATTTATATTTATTTAACCTTTATTTAACCAGGTAAGCCAGTTGAGAACAAGTTCTCATTTACAACTGCGACCTGGCCAAGATAAAGCAAAGAAGTACGATAAAAACAACAACAACACAGAGTTACATATGGAATAAACAAAACGTACAGTCAAATAACACAATAGAAAATCTATATACAGTGTGTGCAAATGTAGTAAGTTATGGAGGTAAGGCAATAAATAGGCCATAGTGCTAAATAATTACAATTTAGTATTAACACTGGAGTGATAGATGTGCAGAAGATGATGTGCAAATAGAGATACTGGGGTGCAAAAGAGCAAAATAAATAACAATGTAAATAACAATATGGGGATGAGGTAGTTGGGTGGACTAATTACAGATGGGCTGTGTACAGGTGCAGTGATCGGTAAGCTGCTCTGACAACTGATGCTTAAAGTTAGTGAGGGAGATAAGAGTATCCAGCTTCAGAGATTTTTGCAGTTCGTTCCAGTCATTTGCAGCAGAGAACTGGAAGGAATGGCGGCCAAAGGAGGTGTTGGCTTTGGGGATGACCAGTGAGCTATACCTGCTGGAACACATACTACGGGTGGGTGTTGCTATGGTGACCAATGATTTAAGATAAGGCAGGGATTTGCCTAGAAGTGATTCATAGATGACCTGGAGCCAGTGGGTTTGGCGACGAATATGTAGTGAGGGCCAGCCAACAACAGTGTACAGGTCACAATGGTGGGTAGTATATGGGGCTTTGGTGACAAAACGGATGGCACTGTGATAGACTACATCCAATTTGCTGAGTAGAGTGTTGGAAGCTATTTTGTAAATGACATCGCCGAAGTCAAGGATCGGTAGGATAGTCAGTTTTACGAGGGTATGTTTAGCAGCATGAGTGAAGGAGGCTTTGTTGCGAAATAGGAAGCCGATTCTAGATTTAACTTTGGATTGGAGATGCTTAATGTGAGTCTGGAAGGAGAGTTTACGGTCTAACCAGACACCTAGGTATTTGTAGTTGCCCACATATTCTAAGTCAAACCCGCCGAGAGTAGTGATTCTAGTCGGGCGGGCGGGTGCAAGCAGCGTTCGATTGAAGAGCATGCATTTAGTTTTATTAGCATTTAAGAGAAGTTGGAGGCTACGGAAGGAGTGTTGTATGGCATTGTAGCTCGTTTGGAGGTTTGTTAACACAGTGTCCAATGAAGGGCCAGATGTATACAAAATGGTGTCGTCTGCGTAGGTGGATCTGAGAGTCACCAGCAGCAAGAGCGACATCATTGATATACACAGAGAATAGTCGGCCCGAGAATTGAACCCTGTGGCACCCCCATAGAGACTGCCAGAGGTCCAGACAACAGGCCCTCCGATTTGACACATTGAACTCTATCTGAGAAGTAGTTGGTGAACCAGGCGAGGCAGTCATTTGAGAAACCAAGGCTATTTAGTCTGCCAATAAGAATGCGGTGATTGACAGAGTCAAAAGCCTTGGCCAGGTCGATGAAGACGGTTGCACAGTACTGTCTTTTATCGATCGCGGTTATTATATCGTTTAGGACCTTGAGCGTGGCTGAGGTGCACCCATGACCAGCTCGGAAACCAGATTGCATAGCGGAGAAGGTACGGTGGGATTCGAAAAGGTCGGTGATCTGTTTGTTAACTTGGCTTTCAAATACTTTCGAAAGGCAGGGCAGGATGGATATAGGTCTGTAACAGTTTGGATCTAGAGTGTACCCCCTTTGAAGAGGGGGATGACCGCGGCAGTTTTCCAATCTCTGGGGATCTCAGACGATACGAAAGAGGAGTTGAACAGGCTAGTAATATGGGTTGCGACAATTTCGGCAGCTAATTTTAGAAAGAAAGGGTCCAGATTGTCTAGCCCAGCTGATTTGTAGGGGTCCAGATTTTGCAGCTCTTTCAGGACATCAGCTATCTGAATTTGAGTGAAGGAGAAGCGGGGGGGGGGGAAATGTCCCATCCAAATCTTTCTGTTTAAGCTGTTTTTTGCATGGGCTGCATCTCAATCCACCACATCCACCTATGTCAGCCTTCCACATCTGCGGTGGAAGGTGGCAGATCTACAGTGGTGTTTTTCAGACCATGAGATATCCTGAAAATCCTGTAGCGTCCGAACGGTTTGGCCTAAAAACTAATATGACCCCACTATGGAAAGATGAGACACGATGGTGTTTTCCGTGCTCTACGACCCCCACAAGCGTCACGGGACTCGTCTGAAGTCGGTTTGAAGTCAAGCACGTACATGTCGGTTGTTTTGCTCTATGACGCCCTGAACCTTCAGAAGACTCGTCTGAAGGTAACCCAGTACCGTTTAAAAACATTTATGGAAGTATGGCAGTAGTTTTGTGATTTTTTTTTTTAAATATGCTTCTGCATCAGCAGTTTTTTTCTTGTTACAGTGGCTTGCGAAAGTATTCACCCCCCTTGGCATTTTTCCTATTTTGTTGCCTTACAACCTGGAATTAAAATGGATTTATTTGGGGTTTGTATCATTTGATTTACACAACATGCCTACCACTTTGTTTCAGAATAAAACAGATTTTGCATCTTCAAACATGAAATAAGACATTGGATTGAGGTCTGGGCTTTGACTAGGCCATTCCAAGACATTTAAATGTTCCCCTTAAACCACTTGAGTGTTGCTTTAGCAGTATGCTTAGGGTAATTGTCCTGCTGGAAGGTGAACCTCTGTCCCAGTCTCAAATCTCTGGAAGACTGAAACAGGTTTCCCTCAAGAATTTCCCTGTATTTAATGCCATCCATCATTCCTTCAATTCTGACCAGTTTCCCAGTCCCTGCCGATGAAAAACATCCCCACAGCATGATGCTGCCACCACCATGCTTCACTGTGGGGATGGTGTTCTCGGGGTGATGAGAGGTGTTGGGTTTGCGCCAGACATAGCGTTTTCCTTGATGGCCAAAAAGCTCAATTTTAGTCTCATCTGACCAGAGTACCTTCTTCCATATGTTTGGGGAGTCTCCCACATGGCTTTTGGCGAACACCAAACGTGTTTGCTTATTTTTTTCTTTAAGCAATTACTTTTTTCTGGCCACTTTTCCGTAATGCCCAGCTCTGTGGAGTGTACGGCTTAAAGTGGTCCAATGGACAGATACTCCAATCTCCGCTGTGGAGCTTTGCAGCTCCTTCAGGGTTATCTTTGGTTTCTTTGTTGCCTCTCTGATTAATGCCCTCCTTGCCAGGTCCGTGAGATTTGGTGGGCGGCCCTCTCTTGGCAGGTTTGTTGTGGTGCCATATTATTTCAATTTTTTAATAATGGATTTAATGGTGCTCCGTGGGATGTTCAAAGTTCCGGATATTTTTTTATAACCCAACCCTGATCTGTCCTTCTCCACAACTTTGTCCCTTACCTGTTTGGAGAGCTCCTTGGTCTTCATGGTGCCGCTTGCTTGGTGGTGCCCCTTGCTTAGTAGTGTTGCAGACTCTGGGGCCTTTCAGAACAGGTGTATATATAGTAAGATCATGTGACACAGATTGCACACGGGTGGACTTTATTTAACTAATTATGTGACTTCTGAAGGTAATTGGTTGCACCAGATCTTATTTAAGGGCTTCATAGTAAAGAATACATATGCACGCACCACTTTTCCGTTATTTATTTTGTATACGTTTTTGAAACAAGTTATTTTTTTCATTTCACTTCACCAATTTTTACTATTTTGTGTATGTCCATTACATGAAATCTAAATAAAAATCAATTTAAATTACAGGTTGTAATGCAATAAAATCGGAAAAACACCAAGGGGGATGAATACTTTGCAATGCATTGTATGTCAGTAACTGACAGTCACTCAATTAGCCTATGTCAGCAAAAAAAAAAAAGATTGATAAGTTAGTCTAGCGACCAGCTATCTAAACTTGTGGTAATCATGGTTGAATTACCGACCGGGGGGGCCCCCATTGATTTTGTTAGACACTCTCACTCAGATATCATATTAAAAACATTTCTCTACACCTAATGACAAAATGTATAGATTTACAGCAAACTTGCTTTAAAACTGCAACATTTTCTCTACACCCCCATGGCAAAATGTGTAGAAACGTGTCAATTTTTTCGCTTAGGGCCCCCAAAGGCTAGGACCGGCTCTGACTACGTGTGGGTATGGATGTGGGTACGCAGACCCGCGAGCTACTGCAGCCCCCCCATGATGAGTTCAGATTTTTTGTGGCCCCCACCCCTATCAAAGTTGCCCATCCCTGCTCTAGGGTTTAAAACATCATCAATGACATGCAATACATTTCAAGTATAATTTATGACAGGTTTGATGTTATTGATCTGACAGCTTATACTGTCATCATGATTGGCTGCTTCCAGTGAAAAGATTGTTATTTACTTCCTGGAAAATACCAACTTGGGTGACATCTTGCCTAATACCAACA